GAGGGAGGGAGGGATTATTTGGGTGGAAAGTCAAATTTTTTCCGATCTAAACATTGTCATGAGTTGTGTTATGTGAGGCAGCCAAAACAGGGAAATGCTTATCTGATTATGGAGGTTGAAGAGTTCGTCATCTGCTATCAATTTTAACACGTTGACGACTAAGAGTGACCAGCATCTAATTTCTCCCCACAATATTACTCCTGAATCAAACATTTAGGTCACGAGAACAAAGGAAATGATCACCAACTAAACAAGCTCTTGATTGTTACACAAATTCTCCTTGTCGTCACGTTAGGAAATGTATGGAGAACCGTATAGAGAATATGCACTCTGATGTTAAGGCGTAAAGGATTGAAATGTGCCACTCTTAATCATCCTTGTACCTTGAGTATTTGACTGAATATTTTAGCTCTTTTAAAATAAACCTCCGATGGTAGGACAAATTCCTGTTAAAATGATGAACATTTTTTTTTTTGTGCTGTGAGGTTACGTTCAGAAAATTTTAGGAAAAGAGCAACTGCAAACGAATCCGAATAAGATTAATACTTGAATTAATTGGCTTGTTCGTGACTAGTATGGGACTCGGCGCTTCCAATCCCAAGGTCGAAAGTTATGCAGCTACTAACCCAGGATCATAAATTTCCTTGAGGATTGTGGTTCTTTAGAATTCATAATTAAATTGAAAAGATATATCCTGATTGCTAACTTTGTTGAACATCATTTCGTCACTTCTTAGTGTTAAACACAAACTGTAAGGAGAGTTTGAGCCAATATCAAAGATGAGAATAAAGGTTAACGCCACAAACCTGTATCGTGGGCTACATATCTTGATAACGGCACGACATAGCGAGGAAGATCGATAAAAGACTTCACTGGGAACCAATCCGAACCAGCAGTGCCCCTCAAAGGCAATAAAAAGTGTCGTCGAGAGATAGTAACAGCATAAAGTCGAGCCCCAAGATTGTAAAGTTGCTGGAACGACGTATCTAATATCGACGCCTGAATGCCTCGTTGTTGATTTCCCGCCGTCAGTAGAATGACGACTTGAGGTACCGCCGGTCGAGCTTTCGCGAAAGCTGCTCGCGCTTTGTCGACTGCTCGGTCCATCCGTCGCGGTCCTCCAATTTTTGGCGCTCTGTCAAGGGCGCTATAGAATTCTTGAGTCGTGCTTGTGGCACCAAAGTTTGAAATCACTGTCGCAGTGGATCCATAAGTAATAATAGCACCTCTAGTGCGGCCTGGCATCATGTTTAAAAACCGCGACAATTGCTTCACGAACGTCTTTTGATCATCGTAATGTTGTGATGTCACTGATTCAGACGAATCAATAAGATAAACGACGTCCACAGCTAAGCTGAGCGGACCCAGGAAAGCTGAAAAAATAAAAAATAAAAAAATAAGCAAAGATATCAAAATTCGTTGGTACTAAGCATCACGTAGAAAGGGTAAAATATGGCTAACGTTGTTCGTGTCTTTACCTATTAGAAATATTACACCCTTCAAAACATTTGGCATATCGATCTTTCGTTTGCATCCGCGTCGACCCTTTCCTTGGGAAACTGGTGGGGAATTGTTTAAGCACAATCAACTCGAAATACTTTGAGAAGTCTATTCAAGATAGTAGCGCGGCCAGTGTCTTCCGATGAACGCTAAAAATTTCGAAATTGCGAGAAGCAAAATCATTCAAGAACACCCAACACGTGTCAAATGACATGTCTGTAATTGACATTTCACTCATAATGCCGATTCTCTGTGTGGGACCCCGTGAAACTTGTCAGAATGAATATTCTGTAGTGGTGCGATAAACTAACTATTATCACCATCATCATATCGGTGAAGATTTTCATCTTAAAGCTAAAGACATGTTTAATGGTCATCGATACACCCAAATAATTATAGAAAATGTCGCTGCGTGAAAATTCAAGTGATGCATTTGACCGCAAAGGATCGCAATACTCTCGGGTCCAAGAGTAACTTGAATCACGATTTGTGGGTATCTCCAAAATTTGATAATTAGGAAAGCCAGATGGTACTTAACTTGCTTTAAACAATCTGTTTGGATTTTGCCCTTTATCATCATTCATTCTAATCTCATAATCGACGCAGTTTAAGAGCGGTGACATTTTTATTACAAAACATCGAACATGTCAAGAGATTTCATCTGTACCTGCTCCAAAAATCCTTAAAATTCAAGCCACTAGGGACATCCTAATAACGATGGATGATTTAAGAATCCAATCGGTGAAAGATCTTAAAATGGGATATCTCAAAAACAGATACTTAGAGCCGAATTAATTCTAGAAAGGAAATAGTTTGTGATATCTGGAATAATCAAGGTCGAGGTAAGTGTTATGAGCCGAAGCCGAAGGCTGAGGCTGATAACACTATCCCGAGACCTTGATTATTCCAGATATCACAAAAACCGAATCCAATAATTGTTTTATTATATATTCTTTTAGTATTTTCCGAATCTTTATCTTCAAGTAATTTCTCAATTTCTCGCTGGGTCGATGAAGCGAATCGAGAAGCCATTCTTACTTCGCTGTCCGTGAACTTGATTGACATTGCTCCTCCGAAAATCATGTATTGCGCGCGTAGGTACAGATTAGTGAATAATCTGTAGGTTGCACTGTTTCCCAGAATTAACTGTAGGCGTTTAGCTAATGAGAAGACAGATGGTGACTACAATGTATAATAATTAGTATTATTTGAGTGTTTCCGCTCAGATAAAAGAGGGTCTCAAGGGGGTTGACTGATAGCAGTAAAAAGGCCAAAATCTTTAGCCGTTTGGCGTAAAAAAGGTTAACTGTTGAAAAAATTCTGGCGACAACAATGGAATGAGGTGACAACAATGAAATGATAATAACCGTTAGCCGTATAATGGGCAAATTGTAACCGTTAGCCATCACCCCATTAAGACAATATTAAAAGCAATAATAATGATGCTAATAAAGAAAATAATAAATAGCTGGACAGAAATGAGGATAGAAAGAAAGAGAGAAAAAGAGAGAGACAGAAAGCGAGAGAGAAAGAAACAAAGAAATATAACTAAAACAACTGTTAATTGGAAGCATACCAGAAAAATAAGGTATGTGCCTCGCCAGATATGGTACTCTCTTTAAATCCAGGTCTGCAAAACTTGCAAACTCGAAAACATCGCCAGGAAGATCAACAGCTGCATGGAGGTCCCTCAGCGCTGGTTCTGATCCAATGCGGAAAATAAAAGTCCTAATCCCTTGTTGGTGGAGTGGTCGAACTGAATCTCGTAACGAGCCTGATGGACGCGCTTGTTTTCCCGCCATAAACAAAAGCACGACCTTGGGGACGTTTTCCCGGGCTCTTATGAAGATACCCTGCGTAGCTATTGTTAGCGCCATGTCAACATTTCTAGGTCCTGCGAGGTATGGCGTCTTGGTAAGCTCGGAATAGAAACGCTCAAGGGTCCTGAAACTGTCAAAGCGAAGGATGGGCATTGCCCGACTACCGTAGGCTATTAGCGCCACCCGAGACTGCCCAGGTTGGATGTTAAGGTACTGTGCCAGAGACGTCACGAAGTCCTTCTGTCTTTGGTACTCACGGAAAGGGACACTTAAAGAACAATCAATGATGAAAACGATGTCTGCGTTCAAGGAAGATGTCCCTGTTATGACTGAAAGAGAAAGAAGATGTCACGGTGAAGGAAATTCAGACTTCATCGGAAACGAACGTCCTGGTTTTGATAGTCCTTGTTAAGACATACATTATTGTCTATGATATCTACTTGCTTTGTTCATTTAATAAAGAAAATATTTCTAGAAGGACTTGCTGAGCTAGAATTTACATGAAGCCCTTTCATCCACTGATAATAATACTGCAACTCTATTTCTTACCGGAAGTATTAGCCACGTATGTACCCACTGGCGAGACGAATCCATAAAGACCTGAAAAAGAACTAGCCAACAACATATCCGTCGGTCTTATCATAACCTTTTCCAGTTCCTTGACGTCCATTCGTCCAACAGTTACAACGTAGACCCAGGCTCCCAGTTGGCGAAGAGGCCGAGCAGCTTCTTCTAGAGGAATGGTGCCCGGTGCCGTATTTTGATCTCCCGCCGTTATGAGAACGACCGCCTTTGGCAGAGTTGATCGAGATCTTAAGAGCAAGGCTGCTGCAGTATCAAGAGCACGGTCCGTCTGTCGGACCCCTCCCATAATTGGAGCATCATACAAGCGCCGAATAAACTCTGAATTGGAACTGTAACCTCCAAGGGGGAATACAATTGAGGCATTACCTCCATACGTCAACAAACCTGCTACTGTTTTGCCTTGGAACACACCAAGGTGCATTGCGATTCTTTGGATAAACCATTTTTCGATGCTATAGTCCCTGGAATTGATGCCTGACGAGGAATCCATTAGGAATATGACGTCCAACAGGAATTTGGAGCCTCCATAGAGATCTTGGAGAGAAGCAACTGGTTGTTAGAAATGTAAACGCTCTGCGCATTTTATTAGTTCGTAAAAAAGGCTTTTGGTCATCCCTTTAGAATTATACGTACACATACATGCACACTTACACACAACTATATACATTTTTCCAAAAGGCTTTATGAAAAAAAGATACACGATTTAAAGACCTCCCTGAAAGGAGAGTTTCAAAAGAGACCCAAAAGAGAAAAAAAGAGACTACATCACTGAGAAATCTTCGCAAGTTATGAAAGATCCCACTATTTACGAGGAAGCTACCATAGGATTATGACATGTCTGAATGTTGGTTTATGTGTTTGGGTGCACTCATCGAGATATGAAGCACAAGGTAAATTTAGGAACACACTTTGAAGTCAACTGTGATCTTTTACGTCATAGGCACTCGGCAGAGTGGATTCTACTCGTCACATGATTGATAATGTCGACTAGTGGCTAAATGATTACACCGTTAAACTATCGGCCAACAAGTTACCAACATGTCGATCAAATATCGCGAAACATTTTTACCGAAATATTGATCAAGGCTACCTCAAGAGCACATCTATTTTATATCCTCTTCTTTGAATGACATCTTTTTCTAATAGCGGATAAACACTAATGGCGGGTAACACGCTATTGGTAAGAATATTCGTACTTCACCCTAGATATTCTGTAAGTATACTTACAACTATCAGCCGTCATATAACTAGCCAAAGACCCGATATTCGCGGGTAAATCGCGGTAAGAAACGACTGAAAAAGCATCCCGCGGCTCCACAACCACTGGACGTAGCCACTCGATATACCGGTTCTCACTGACGGACAGCACGTATAACCAGATCCCGCGATTCAACAAAGGGCGAGCAGCGGCTTCTAGAGCCCTAGTATCCCTTATGCCACTCGGTCGCCAGGGAGTAACGAGGATAACCAGCCAGGGGTAGGATCCACGCGCTCCGGTAAACATAGTCGCTGCTGTCCTTAATGCGCTGTTGATTGAAGAACTGCCGCCCAAATATGACGCATCGGTTACCAGAGTTCTGAATTCGGCGTGTGTGTTATATCCGTCAAAGTTGAAGTTTACTACAGGAGAATCTCCCACTGTGATCAACGACCCCCGTGATTTTCCTGGTGAAATGTTCAAGTACTCTGACAATATTCTGACAAATCGTTGAGCTCGAGCGTATTGGAAAGGTGTTACTGCCGAGGAAGAGTCCAAAATGAAGGTGATGTCAGCGGAAAAAGCTGGCGCCTCTGGGGCTCCTGTGGAATATAAAGATGCAGATTAAACATTGTAGACAGGATAGATAGACTGTGAACATGCCTGAGCAGGAATGTGACCTGTATAACGGACGATTTTTCGAGGCCTCGATAAACAAAATGAATACGAGACGAGTAGATTGGAACTAATTTTCATTCCTCGACGGGCTCCTCCGCTAATAGCATTGAAAATACCAGCCACGGCTGCGCATGCTACTAAAACTTGGAGAGACAAACACGGAATGAAGATAAATATCACCCTATGTTGCCATTATAATAAGCATGTCATAATCACTTGGAAAGAGGGATAAGCATGAACAAGCGCATGAAGCAAGATATCTTTGTTTCTTTTTTCTTTTCTTCTATGAAGTGTAAAACAAGAACAGATCAGTTATAACTTACGCCACGTTGCCATGATACGTGAGGCCATGAAAGAAGCGCGTGGAAGTAGACTGATAAATGATGGAACGGAAATAACGTCCTCGGGTCTTTGAACAGCCTGGTAAAAGTCACGAACATTATATCCTCCCGTGAGAATAGCGACAACAAACAATCTCCCACCATATGATCGAATCTGTTGCGAGGTCTCTCTCAGGGAGCGCGTGTCGGCCACCTGCGTTTGCCTTCCAGTTGTCAAGAGAATAACATATTTGGGTACAGATGGCCGTGATCTTGTCCGCAAAAGTTCCGCTGCAGCTACAAGTGCTCTGTCGATGCGACGGGCTCGTTGGAGATGAAGTGCGCGGTTGACAGCTGTTTCGAACGCCTCGCGGTCTTCGTAACCATCAAATGTGATTTGTAGCATTGGACGGTCGCTGTACGCATACAGAGCAGATCGGCTTCTGTTGTTGGCGAGATTCAGGAGGCGAGCCATCAGCTTCACATAGTTCTTTTCCAGCATGTAGTTCTCCTTTGTCACGAACCTCGATGAGTCCATCAGAAATATCACATCTGAACGAAAGTCTGATGGTTCATACTTAACTGATAAAAAAATAAAAAAGAAATGGATGTTATTTTGAGCTAAATTTATAGAGTCCAATTTAAAGAACGACACTTCACTCACAGGTATTGGAAGCCAGTCTCAGTTTTCTTGCGATACGTGACTGCCACGGTGCTAGGTCGTTGAAGGACGGTACTTGAAAAATGTCGCTTGGTCTGCGAACCATTTGCGTGAACACTGATGGTGTAAACTGGGAGCCAATGCCAATCACATACAAATGTGCGTCGATGCTGCGCAATCTTGTCACAACAGATGAGATACTATTCGCTCCACGTCCCGAGTAGTAGTTACCCGCGGTCAAGAGAATAACAATTCTCAGACCCTCGCGTCCAGTGTCCTGGAACATTTTCGTAGCGTAATTCAGCGCTTGATCGATCCTCCGCGCGCCACCAAGTAATCGGGCGTTGTTGATTTTACGACTAAAGTCTGCTGTACTGCTATAATCAGAGAAACCTATGACAGTGACTGAAGATCTGTGATAAGTGACCAACGCGCCACGTGGCCCGAGTGGCGATATGATGAAGTAATGAGCCATACGACGAACGAACTGTTGCTGCAAGTTCAACTGTTCCCAGGATACGCCCGCGGAAGAATCCATCAACAAGATGATGTCAGCATCAGGGTGGATTGGTTCCGTCGCTTTATGGAGAAGAAAATTTCAAAGAATAGTAGCCTTGGTATGACTAGAATAATTTACCGACTTAACACCCATCAGAGAGCTTTTGGTTAGCGAAAATGAAGACAACAAACTGATGTTTTAGTGCTTAATCTATAGCTTTGTCTAAAGGGGAAATTCAGGGCTATCAGACCGTAGAAATTAGGTTTGAACTTAGTATTGAATGGGAAAATTCCAATGGCAATCGAAGGCTTCGATCACTTCAAACGAAATTTGGGCTAACTTCATATCATCGAAATTGTTATAACCATAGATTTGATTTCTTGATTTTCTTACCAGCTGCCTCACAAAGATTCCTGGTGTAATTTCTCACTTTTTTAATTAAATCATCAAACTTCATCACTGTTATCACATCTTCATCTCGTTCCACCGTCAAGCGCAATTCACGCACATTAATTCTCTTTCCAACACCAAAAGCGATCACGCGTACTCCTTGCCACCTCAGTGGCGCGGAAGCATCTCTGAGGTTTACTGTGCTACCAGGGTCCGTTTGTTCGCCATCCGTCAACAACATTGCCACCTTTGGTACATCTTTCCGCGCGTGCGAGAAAAGCTGCGACGACGCCAGTTCAAGAGCTTTGTTGATGTAAGTGAAACCTCTTTCGTGGGGAAGCTTGTCGACCTTTTCTAAGAACTCATCTGTGGTGCGGGAATCGTTGAAGTACGCTCTGACTGAGGCTTTTGTACTGTATAAGACGATACCTGCCCGGGTACCATTCGGCGAAATGCCAAAGCTACTTGCAATGAACTTCACAAAGTCTTTGATTTTTTTGTAGTTCCTTCTAGCGATACTCCCAGACGAGTCAATGATGAAGGCGACGTCCACGGTGGCATTACAACTTTCCCATTCTGCGTAGATAAGGCAAAACACACTACTTGGACAAGATTTACCTTACTTGTACTTAGACTACAAATAATGAGCTGATCTTTCCCGGAATTAAGGAAATTGCAGAAAAAAGAGACCAAAAAAAAACTGAAGTTCACCGACGAAAATCACTTCGTTACTCTTACATCATGCGCAGGTCAAATTATTTTCATGTCACTTGTGATAATTGTGATGCCAAGAGTACTTGAATATCTTTCTCATAGCAAAGTGCACGGTAGAATCTGAATAAAGGGGACGCCATATGAAGCAAACGCCTTGTATCCATCATACATTAGTCCAAGATCTAGAGACTGCCTCCCTAGTAAGTTATTTAAAGAAGTGGACATGGGAGTTAAGCGGTTTCGTCAAATGGTTCGCATAATAAGTGCAGACAAAGTTTTACTTGTTTCTTTTTAATGAATACCATCTTGGAAAAGCATCGTTCACTTTAAGACGTTTCCTTCGGTAGTTCTTTGTGAAGTTATTTACAAGAAAGGCCTTAATTCGAAAAGTTTCTGATTACTCACTGTGTTTTATTTCGGGGTTAATCTACTACACGCGTGTTCTAGGCTGACTCCTTGTTTGAAGCAAGAGTCCTATGGGTGTCTGCTTTAGGTTTCATGGTACTTGCCAGGGAAAAAGGGAAACGAGAACAAAGCTGGGGGTATCAAAAGGACAGTTCAGAAGGTAAAAGCCTGTGTGGAGCGTAGAAATGAGGACTTTCCTTGTCAAATTTTGCCTCATTTACAGTTTTGTTAGGCAGCAACTATCACACACACACACACACACCTCATGTCAGACAATCCAAGAAAAAGGTAAAGAGAATCATGACTGTGCTATCGCCTACTCCTTTGTTATTCTTAAACGCTTGGGTTCCCTATCATTATTAATAGTAGCAGTTCCTTACTCACCAAACCCTTTGGTTGGTTGTGTAGTTGGGGTAACGATAGGTTGACAGGTCATTCTGCATCCATCAGAGCAGCACTCTTGCCCGCTCTTACATTCATCTCTTTTTAGGCACTGATTTGGCAGGTTTGGACACGGGTCAGGCCTTGGTAAGACCGGGCACTTACTGTTACCTGTTACACGAGGAAGACTTTTAGAGTTAACACGCGCCTATACCGAAAAAGTTGTGGCCTTTTGGGTGATCCACTTGAAATTTCAATTAATAAACATGGAATTGAATTCGTCGTGTGACTAGGGTTTTTTCCAAGTTCCACACACTCGTTACAAAAAGAACACCGTCTTGACTAGAGCATCCGCGGCGACTGAGCTCAAAATTTACTCCCTTTCTTGATCTAGCTTATTAGTCATTCATGCAAACTTCTTTCTATCCAGCGTGTTGATAGGGTGGTTTCATAATCCATCTAAATTGTATTAAAAAGTTTTTGAATGATAGACTAGCAGTGTATGAAGTATATGGGAAGAAGAACAGATTCCAGCAAAACAGTCATGACAATGTCTCCAGTATCTTCGCGGAGAAAATTTTGAGAGGCATTACCTACGTGACATTTTTAATTTGATTTGCGTGATCTTCAAAAAGTGTCGTTTCTAAATTAATAATAGACTTACCACTGATGAAGGCTAGGTCACCTGGATTAAAACAAATCTTGCCACAGCCAATCACGCAACATTTTTGCTGGTTATTCCCGGTACAATCTTCGTCATATTTGCATTGGTCAATGGTATCGGGAGGACATCTCTGGGAGAGTCTACGTGGCAGGTCTGGGCATTTTCCCACTCTCACGCCAGTTGCCTGAAAAACTAAAACCAGCCAAGAAAGAAAACAGGATGTAGGTGTGAACAATCACTCGTGTTTTATGAAACTTGTCCATTAAAAATAAAGTTTTGGAAGAAAATCTGGGGCGAGAGGTTTTTTCTAGGATTTAGGTTTGTCAAAGATAATCTTGGATTTGAAACAACACCAAACAGAATTGGGCAAAGAAACAAACACGCAAAGCGCGCCGGTGTCACGTTCTTAAGTTTGCTATTATGATCCCTCGTGAAGTAGCACGTTATACTTTGCGAAGCTTGACACGTTTTTTAACGCGTTTTTTTAATGACGAAGTAGTGAACAGCTCTGCACACTGCACAATCTAAAATAGTAAGAACTTGTTTTAACCTCCTACGCGTTTCGTCTGACAAAAGCAGACCTCATCAGGGAGTTTTTTCAAGTAGGGTAATAAGCTTGCTTACTTACAGATAGTTAATAAAAGACTATTTTCGACCTTTACGCGTAGTGTGCCTAGTGTGAAGCAAGTGGAAAGTATTTGCAAGATGTGCCGGACCATTAAAGGTGTTGTACGTGCTTGACATTTTTAGGACGTTACATGTACATGTTGTACGAGTGCATGATGTGTTTGCGAATCACAGATGAAGCAATCCTTCTTTATTACAGCATCTTCTTCCTATGTCAGTTCTTATCGAGCCAATAATTAATTGTAATGCTCATTTCAAAGGTAGCTTACGCGTCGCAAGGAATTGTACCAACTGTCCTGAATCATAACGAAGCTTACATGGTAAAATCTGAGACTTGCGAGGATGCTAAGATGCCTGTTTCAAACTTCGAGACCAACTTGACTTAGACAACTCCTTAATGTTGCCGTAGAACTAGTGTTACTCAAACTATTGCGTGCACGCTATTCGCGTTCAGCAGAGGGGGGCCCCGCATGACGTTAGCTCAAACTAACGCAGTCTCCAGCTACCTGTTGATTTGGACCCTCAGCCGCGTGGACAACATCAAGTACTAAACAAAGATTTGTGTCTCTGACAGAAATAAATGCAGTATAAACGAGAGTTCAAGACATTTTCGCATAAGATTTTCAAGATCGCATGAAAACTTTCCAAGGCCCACGATATTCCAAGATGAAATAATCTCGATTTCTCACAGGCATGGAAACTCACTGTCAGAGAAGTTCCGTTGAGTTCGGCTACTTCCGAGGACCTCAAACGCAATTTTTTTCACCTGTCAACTTTAACAGCACCGGGTTTTCCAATCTTTGCGTGTCATTTTAGTTATTAATATAAATAAAGTAGTTAAAAGATGGACTTGCAAATGTCTCAATGCGCTTTGGTGTAATACCCATCTCATCGCTATCTTTCACACAGATAACGTTTTGAACTAATTTTGAAACAGGATGTTTTAAACGATGCAACGGAACCGAGGGCAAAACAAAGAGTTACTGTTTGGATCTATTTGTTTTTATAGTCGATCGAAGCAATTGGATGCGAAAGATGTTCTTATGCTTTATCTTTTTTTTTTCTTTTTTTCGCAACCGCTGTTAAAAATATACAATGGATCAATTCACAGTTATTTGATATATCAGTGATCAGACTGAAAAAAAAGTCAATTTATATCTACTTTTAACCAAAGCTTAGATCTTCTAAAGGATTTATAGGATGCACAGAACGTTGAGGTTTTTTTAATCATGTTATTGTGACCTGTTTAAAGCTTTGGAGATAGTAACAGTGATAGCAACTCTCCCCCTCGTGGAGATAAGTTCGTGAGATAAGCCTTCTTATTTCCCGGTGCTTTTTTTAATCGACATTGCTGTATGAAATTCAAGATGCAATCTTATCTTTTCGAGATAACACTATAACTTTGGATTTTCAGACGCGAGAAATTCCTAGTCACATCTTAGGGTTAAAACATTTCCATCTTCAGTCTTAATTTTTTTTTTTTTAATGGCGAAGCTCGGAGGTGAGGTCGATTGTAATCTCGGTTTCGTAGTTTAATTATCTTGCTAGGACGATACATCTTAGGGCATCACCAAGATCTAAGAGGGGAGGAAATAAAACAACTTTTTCCTTGATAGGAATCGCTCAAAAGTAGTAAAAACTAATACACATGTTTGTCATTTTGACAGCTACATTGTTGTCTTCTTCATTGCAATCGGTATCACTGAGACAACGGATTGCTTCAAAATCACAGAAATCTGACATTCTTTGACTAAATTATAAACTAATGAAAAACCGCAAGTAAAACAGAACGTACCTTTACAGAACAGGACCAAGAACAGAAACGATCCAAGAGAATCCAATCTCCTCAAACCGTTAACCATTGTTCACAGATTTAATCGAATTCCCCCGGAAAATCTCTTCGCTTTAATGGTGGAAATTTCCACCCAAGATAAACATTGACACTAGGAGGCTGTCGCGGTGAAGAGCTTTCAACGTAAAAGGGAGTTTGCTGTTTTGAGAGTGTCTTAAGTCGGGTGACGTAAATCACGCTTTCACGAAGAACCACCAAAATAGCGATGAACTCCAGATTCTAATTACGGCACGGAATTTTCGGCAGTCCTCAAGATTATTTGCTAAGCTTTCTTGGCATCTGATAATTACCAGAGTTTAAATGTGGGGGTAGGTATTGCGGTTTGGTGATAAAATGTAACTAAATACTCGATTGAGAGTCGTAACTTTGCTCTCATGTGAGATATCAGTGTTGAGTACTTTGTGTCGTGTTTAAGCATAATCTGCGATTAGGGTTGGCTTTCCGGGAAAACAAAATATGTTCGATAAAGCGGAGATTAAACAACAGAAAAACACGGAATACGGCTAAGAGAAGACAGGCAATACTGTTTAGGTGTTAAAATGGTGATCAATCAACCACAGGGAAAATCTCAATCATTATGGCCTTTGACTTCGCTAAAGAAACGGCGGCGTACATAGTTTGTGCACCGGAATGCATACCTAACCCGACAGCTTCCTTATCATTTTGATGAAAAAGAAGACTTTTCTGGAAGGACACGAACATTCTCACTTAATCGTTGCTTGAGAATCAATCGCAAGGTCGCATGACACCTAACGGGAGCGTCCAAATCGGAATTTAGGGGATTTGCGATCTCCAACCTTACAAAAACACAGATTCTGCCAAGAATTTGGAAAAACCAACGGCACGTACAACGCTATCCTTTTTTCTCCACGATTAAACGATTTGTGGTTGATTAGTCTTAATCAGCTTGTCCTCACACGCGAACTGAATAAACATATACGTGACCACGAAATGATTACCTAACTGCATTACAATGCTCATGATGCGTGACGGATGTGGCCTCAAGGGTCATAGTGAGAGCGTCCTGCAGTTTCTGAGTCAAGGAGAGCCTTTTTCTTGACATTCCTCTTCAGTAGGCATCCTAATTGAAGCGTATCGCTAAAAACAGCTGTCTAGAAGTTTAAACTCGAATTAACCATGACAAAAAAAAAAATGGAAAAAAGGTTAATGTTCTTAACACGTGAATAAACTATGACAGGCGAGATCCCATACTCTTGCGAGTGAACACTTCACGCGCACGTTGCGCGAACAGCTCAGTGCGTCTTCCACGCTCGCGCGTCTCGCTCTCACAATCACGTTCTTGTTCGCGTCTCTCCTCTCGCTCACGTATGTCGTGCGGATTCACGGAGTTCTCTCATGATTCGTGGAAGATTAATCCTACCCATAGTATACCAAAACATGCTTACGGGATCATTTTGAGTAGAGATATACCCTTTTGGAGAAAAGGCTTTTGTGACACCGGTACATTAAGATAACTTATTTCTTCAGCTAGACAGTCGGGTTCTCACCTGTCTATAGGGAATATGTCACACATAAGCCATCACCTCTCATGTCTTTTTATTTCACTCCACAACAGTGGCTTAGTGGCTCAGCCTGGCTGCCGCTTGAGCCTGAAAGAATCACAGGTAAAAAAAAGAAAAAAAGAACTCGCTTCTCTTTTCCTGATAAACCCCTTCCTGTTACGTGGTCCGGTTTACTTTAAGTTGATTAGAGTACCATGCAGCAACAACTGTCATGCTTTGCTACATCTCATGCCCAGGGGCGTAATATGCCAAGAAGTATGTTTCTGGTGGAGATCAACTGGCTGAAAAACAGGAAATGCCACCCACTCCCCCCCCCAACACACCCCCAAAGAGGGCAGGTTAAGAATACGCTGATGAAAGTTGAGAGGGATATGTATACATTAGTATTATTTTGGGTTGAGAACAAACAGAAGGCCGGAAATGCAAATTTTTGTCAGGGAACCTCTTGTCCTGCAAATACCTAGATATTGACAGTTTTCCGAAATAACAAAAAAATTGTTTGGTAGCTTCCGCACACTTTCTCTCTCTGTCATGAGGCACGGACCTCGCCACGCACGGTGCTTACGTCATGCCCTCGAGCCAAATATTTTCCCGTCCGGCTCTCCCACTCAGTCAATACGTACATAGTGAGATGTTTTTATCATGCATTTTGATTGGGTCTCACTAACAATCTACTGAAGGACAACACTTAGACGATGCCACTGTTCGGAAGCGAAACGGAAATCAACAAACACGTTTATTCCATCACGTTAAACGGTAAACTCATGGTAAACGAAAACGACCGCCAAACAAATTGCCATTCGATAAACTGAAAAACGATAGACTCAAAAACTTTCAACTCCTCTCTCAGAAACTCGTACACGTCAAAAATAAAAATAAAACAATTTAACCAACGCAATCCCAAAGCACGCGCACGCGAGTCGCGCGCGCACAAGTTCGTTAACGTCTTCTTAACAACCACCATCAACAAATTTGTTCTTTAAATATTATACGCAACCAGTAGATTCCATGTTACCGTAATAGATCAAAGATGACGTCAAGACTGCAATGAACGAAGGCTGAATAAATTAACTTCGAGGGTGAAGAGGAGGTGGGGGTAGATTAGAGGCGCAGGGGAGGGGGGAGAGGGGTCATAGTAGTCTCGTGCCCAGACCTTTTCAGACCTTTCACTTCGGTTACAGTTAATCGGTAGGATCTGGGTACAAGATTAGGTTTAAAGTTATGACAAAGTTAAACAAAATTTTAACTACATTGTTTATTTGTTTATTTGAAAACTTCGTGGATTCAGTGCGTTAACTGTTTACTGGCTTGCCGCTCATTACAATTATCGCTTCTCAGTCTAAAAGACAGCAACACAGGTAGATCCACTTTTGTCTGCGTTTTGAAATCATAAATCTCCACTCTTAACTTGTCGTGTAAAGTAAAATTAAAAGGATTGGCAATGCTGTCTTTCAGAGAGCTATTACAAGTGAACTTAAAGTTATGTGAAGACACACGGTCACTTTCAAGGTCGAACAAGCCAAGGTCTTGAAGATTTTAAACAGATACTGACTTAGTTTATCGCGTTGAGAGCTATTGGTGATGGTTATATGATGTCTAAAGATAGGTCTCTCTGTTCGGGTCTGGTTGAGGTTTTGGTACAAATTTCACCTTCATGTACACGATCACCGCGAGGCACACGGCGCAAAAGATTGCCATAGCAACCACAACAATAGTGGTTATATTGAATGGAGATTCTAGAATTCAAGAGGGACAAAAATTCATTAGAACAAATGAAATGCCATGAACCACTTCTACCAACTAAGTAAAAATTCCATGCATGTTTGTACTTCTTGTAAAAAAATTAAACAATAATGAAAATATTAATGATAATAATAGCGAGAAAAAGACCAAGTCTGATTGCAATAACAAAGCCACTCCGGAGCAGATATAAATCGTAACATTTGAGTTTTGCACGATGTAAACCTGGTTTAAATCAAGTTGTACCTTTTTCTGAGTGTGCCGAGTCTTTATTTGTCTCCTTTTGACTTCTAAATAGGAATGGTCCCTCAGTGAGGCCGGCTCGAGCTACATCCTTCGAATTCTCCTTCTCCATTGTTCGCCGTCTTCTCCTGGGGAAATCAGTAAAGCAGTCGACATTGCAGCGGGAGTTGGGATCGGTGGCATTACAAACTACCAATTTACAGTGCAAGTACACAAAGCTGCCGTACTGCCCCGTAAACTGAAATGTGTCAAAACTGAATCGTCTGGTGCCTTGGGGGCCTGGGTAATACTTCACTGTGGAATCCACAACACAGCTATGAAAATAAAATACAAAATGATCACAATAATTTCATGATGCATTAATTCACGATTCAAATGATTTCTTCAACACATCAATAATCCTTATGCACCAACGTTTGCACACAATTCAATCGCCCATATGACAGGAACTTATCCCGCTCGTACAAAAGAAAACAAGAAGTAAACAGAATTTGAATTACCATGCGAAATGGCTATATTTGATGTTTGAAAGTTAAAAGGTGGATACTAAACTGAATAATTCTTACCTACAATTCCACCCCCCTCCCACCCTTTTGGACGGCGAAAAAATGGCGCTTTCCGCTCTAATGGCGTCTCCTTTGGTTTGGGCTGGATAAAGGTGCAGGGATTACTTTTTCGTTATCACACCGCAAGTCTGCATTTTAAATTTTTCATTACAGGGGGAGAGAGTAAGCCTTAAAAGCTAATTCAGACGCGGGGGAGGGGGCATAGGTTAAGAAAAGGCCCCACCCACCCCATCCCCTTCATTCTACCAATCTATCGACAAACCCCTCGGTAAAATGCATTTCTCTTCCCAATCTTCCACAGCTTACAGAGTCTATAATCGCGGTTAGACAAGAAGTGTTAAACGACGGCAAGGCAAAACTACGCCAACACCACTGGCTACAAGTTTATGTAAGATTTCAGATGGTTGCATATAATTTGGTCGAAGTAAGAAGTTGAATACAACGTTCATTTACCTTTGTCTTATGATGTCATACTGCATGACATCATCAGGATGCTGGGTTGGCGTGGCATAACATTTTTCCTCTCGAATCGTCAGTCGGGTATCTGGCGAATCTACTGCAAGCTGTGCAAGAGAAAATATAGGGTTCTTAGGCTGGAGGTTGATTTAGATCTGTGCCCCTCCCCCTTCAATCCAAACGCAAAATAGTTTAGTTAACAAGCTAATAATATTATTATATATTTACTCCATTTTCACTGCATTAATTTTTGCAGTGGGGAAGGACTAGAAAGGAACATACGAACCATTCGTGCTAGTCCACCCTCCCACCCATCCCACCCCAGGGGAGGACATCCATCACACAGTAATCTCGTGTGTGGGAAATTAACGTCTCCTACCCCTAACCCTGCAGGAGACGGGACCTCCATTTATTCCTCCCTATCCGAGAAGACTAGAATATCTAACCATTTCTTGATGTTATAGAAAGGTAGCAAATTCTTCTCAATTATTTTAAGACCCTGATCATTAAGTGATTAAGTGATCACTTAGTCACTTAATGGTTTAAAACTGAGTTTTCGATATCAAACATGGACACCCCCATGGAGCAACTTAGACTTTAAAAACGGTCACATTCTTTCAAACGTATTCCCATCATATTCTACCAAATAGGAGGTGACGAAAGAGCTGAATCCCATCTATGCGTCTCAGCAACTTTCGCGGACCTTTCAACATTTTAATTACTCTATGAATTCATAGGCATATTTGTAACATGCGCAGACGTTATTCAGCTCTACCGGAGGTGATACAAAGATGTACATGATCAACCTGAAAGCATTTTCCCGACCTACCAAATTCAATATTCTCAAAAAAAGCACCACACTTGGGTGCGCTTTTGAAGACAATCTCCTGAACGGAATTACCGACCTACCTGTACGAAGAGAGGCTTCCCTAAAGAAACCTTCAGAGGAAAATCCCTGATGCCGAATGGCCGGAGATAATCTTCGTCTTTGAACACAGATATTTCGAGTGTAAATTCTGTTTTTGTTTCTCCGCCGTCCATGGTCATCTTTAACTGGAATGAAAAGGAAAACAAAACAGAACATGGAAGTCAAAGAGGCACAACATGGAACTTAGAAGCCACGGACAATTTAACTTAAGAGTACAAAATGAAAAGAAAAATAAACGTTTATTTAAGCCCTTTACTTTCTAACAACAGAAAGCATAGTCTCCATACTGTTGTCCATGTAATTCTTAAGGTGCTGACAAGGAGAATGCGTTTAATAATCAAGAGCTTCTTCTATTTCCTTTATTTTTTTCTCTTAATGTTTGATTCAGGGGTGATATTGTGAGGAAAAATTAGATGTTTAGATGCTAGCCACTCTTGGTGGTCACAGGACTAATGTTGGTCCTCTAATCCTTAACTCCACAAGATCATCTTCCCGTAATGCCGTTTGGGTAAGCAGCAGACATCTTGGAAAAATATCAGTTTCGCGACCAAAATGGGGGAGTAACACAAAAGTGGGGTTTAAAACGGCACTTGCAAACCCTTCACTGGAAAGTGAACCCTTCATTGGAGTGGATCTCTCGAACTTAATTAGCAACGAATGTGGATCTGCCTGTTTTCTCTGCAGCTCGTAGAGACAAGGAATATTTTAAATAGAATAGCATCGGTATATTTTTATATCTTTCTTAATAGTATAGTATTGGTATTTTTGTATAAGTATCTTATAATTTTATTCTATTTAATATTCATTTAATATTTAGCGGTGTTAATTTTGCTTTGTTACTGTATCTCCAATCAGAAGGTATGTTAAAGTACTTTGACACAAAAATAAAGTTATTTATTTATTTATTTATTATTCAAAAGCAAGGAGTGGACAAGAGATCCCTCGCTTTTTCGAAAGGTGGGGGGGGGGGGGGGGGGGAAGAATCCAAAACTACACAGATATGGAGCGTGAAAAATGTATGTCAGAAAACTAATGGTTTGGCCTTGATACCTTTCGAGGAATGATTCCGTATGTTGATGTTACTCCTTCCTTTGTGTAATAACAGCTAAAAGGAATGGTAAGTTCAGGCATTCTTGAAATAACACCTTCAATCTCGACCTCTTCCTCCTCTATTTGGTTGCTATAGACAACAGCTTCTCCAGTGTGACTGCTGACCGTTCCACAACCCACTAAGGGCGCGACCAGACTGAAATGTGTCTCGTTTCCGGTCGCTATACACGACTTGTTGTTGAGTCGAAGGTAAATAGGTTTGAAACCGTTCAGAATTCCTTTCTCCACGTCGATTTGCATCTCATTTTTCCTGCAGGACACCGTTACTCCCTCTGTTGATCGAAAAAAAGAAAGCGTGAGTCACTTTTGTCGCCATTACTCCCTGCAGCATCTCTCTCTCTCTTGAATCAAATGTAAAGGTTATGAGAATTAACTAAATGATTACCGATTTAAAAAGTTCCTGATTGTCAAACAAATTCTCTTTTGTGTGTGTGCGTTACATGTACTGCGATTTGTTTTTTGTCACGGACGAGACTCACTGAATGTCACGCAGTTGGGAAATAATAACGCACTATGGCCAGGAAGCTGTGACATGTTGCCAGCGGGACGCGTTGTCTTCGCGCTCTTATCAGTTTGGGTTACATTACAATTGTATCCCTCATTACTGGGTAGTACATAGTACTACTTTTTAAAATACTTTTAAAACTAAAGTAGTGAGCAGCACTCTGCGAACAGTCGTAAAACTTGTTTTATTTTCCGGCACGTTTCGTCTAACTGTCATAGACTTATTCAGGACGTTTTACAAGTAAACACTAAACGCCTGTAGCTATAATCATGGCCCTCTTCACCTTGCCTTACAACTTTTCACAACTTCGCCTGTCCCTGGTCGTAAATCCAGCCAAACCCCTATGATTTTTGGCCCACGTAATAGCCGCTAACTATGGATATGGGGTTGATTTTTTAGACCAAGACACCCCACACCCCCACTGGTGGAAGTTTTGTCCTAATTGATACATGCTTGTTTAGTCTTCACTCGCACAGTTTTTGCCGCCAAAAATTTAGTTCTTGTGGATACGAGGGCTAGAGCAGAAGAGTAACATATGCAACTGATAATAATGGATTTCGCCTTGCAAATGTAGCACATGAGCGAAAGAATAAGTTACCCAATGAGCAAAAGAACAAACACGTAGAATATGTAGTACGCATTATTAATGGCTGCCAAATGTCAAGTAATCGATGTGTTTGTAATAGTGTTAGGTGACAACTAAGAGTTGTGTTGTTTCCGGTGATAGCGTGTGAGTTCCTCGCAGGGTGAATTTTAACAATCTGTCCTAGAATTAGCTTGCGAGCATGCCTTTCTTACTATGGCTTCAGTAACAGCGTTTCCTCGCACTAACGTTTGAGGCCTTGAGGAAAGCGAGTCTACAAGAGGTCTGCAAGAGGTCTTGCATTGAAAATAAATCCAAGAGCAGATCCCTTTCAGACCTTTCGCCGGCTTTGCTCGTGCCCATGTCTACACGCAACCTCTCCTAGAATGATGTTACTTTCAGATTTTTCGACCCATTCATCTTAAAAAATTCTTGAAAATTAACCTGATTCTAAACTAAAAACGAAAACATCTTTTTTTTGTTTTGTAACTTAGTAACTCGTCTTCTAACAACGACCTGAAATGACTTTCAAATGATCCCGAAGCACGTGTAACGGTAAATTGGGACAGGGAAAAATAAATCTGTTGGTCGTACAGTTGTAAGAAGTTAAGATTTTGTATTTAGAAAGCTGATTAAAAAGAGCGACTGAAACAGACAAATCAATATGATGAAATAACGATAATTTCACCAAATTAAAACACTTTGTGTGTGTGTGTGTGTGTGTGGGTTGCCGGCGACCTTTGTAAGTGGCTGTCTACACCACAAATCTTTGACGGGAACAATTAACAAACACTCTTTATGTTCATAGAGTGCTCTTCTCGCTAGTCCTTACTATGTCAGTTTTCTTCTCTTTTACGAAGTACCACAACTGAGCGATGGCTATCGTTGGCAAGATTCTAAGCCTTTGCTAGCACAAAGAGCAAATAGCAGTACTGAGCTTGAAAAACACATTGGAAGAATAATGCGTCTTTCATCGATCGCTATCACCGCGCATAAAATTAAATAAATAAAGGGTTGACTCAAAGCGAACAAATCAGAAACGCACCGTAAGATATGTTACGCTTTCCTTCTCCATTCACAAAAGCAACTTCTAGCGCAGCAAGAGCCAGGAGGTAAATAAACAGAACGGCCATCCAGAAACGATTAATGACCTTCCCTGCACTGCTCACAGAGAAAACATGTCATGTGCCATGGTGTTACCGCTGGTATGAAGACATATGATACCATATGAAATAATCATTATCTTTGATTTAATTTTTGAAATGTATTATCAGTGAAGTCGGCGGGAATCTAGTCTCCTTTGCAGCCTTTGCTCGGTCTTGTCACGCAGCGCGATCTCTCCCCCAACAGCGGGCGCTTTTGCGTGATGAGACCAAAGCATTGCAAATCGTATAAAACAGTCAGTATGTGTTGAATGAGTTCAAATGAGACTGAATTCTGGTGTCAGATAATTGCAGTTTTGCTACAGGTTATGAGCCCAAATTTGAATTTTTTATGATCCAATGTTTTTTCTTCCTCGATTCTCTTCGGTTCATAAACCTTCATACTCTTTCTTTTCTTTTCCACAATACCATCTACAAGGCGCGGAATGAATTCCACGACATCGTTTTCTTTCTAAGAAGGCAATCAAAGTTTTATGGGTTTCCTGCCCTCAGAATGCCAGTCAAAGTTGAAAACCCTAGAATCACTGGCAAAAGGTATGTGCCTGACTGCACCTTGAACTTGCGCGTAATAAGGGTCAAATGATCCTTTCAAAAATACTAGCGAAACAGGTAGACTGTTTTTCCAGAGACGTGCGCAAAATGATCGTTTTTGGTCACGTGACTAAAAAATACGTTAGCACAAAAGGCATACGCACGTGATAACATTCCTTCGCATTTCTTTGCCCGAACTTTTGGTGTCTGTCGTCGTTTATCCACTTTCGTTTAGTAATACAACATGATCCAGCTAAAAGTGTTGTATAATATTTCTTTTCAGCTAAAATGGAATCGATTATCACACATCTTGGGCTAACGTCTACGCTTTTATTACGGATATGGGACCTTCCTTGTTTGTTTATGGAAAAGCTCGCCATCGTTTGATTCTCAGCAATGTGAAGGAATGCGATCACGTGCGCTTCTATTTGAGGCGTCGGGGATAGATCACGTGGGCTTATTTCAAATATGTTTCTCTCCAGCGGCAACTGTTTCGCGCGTCTCCGAAAAAACAGTCTACCTGTTTCGGTAGTATAAAGATCAGTGACTTCCACGTTTTCTAAAATGTCCACTTTCAAATTTCCTTCTTTAAATCCACTTTGAAGAGGGTTTTTGAAAAACTCCGTTTTGGGAAGACAATTTATCTGGATCAGCGCGGATGGTTCTTGGCCTTCCTATATTATGTACTGCCATACAAAGAGATTCACATGTCAGTATTACAAACTTGTTATTTGCCCGCTGTCATAGTCCATACATCTCCTTCGACAGCCATCAAAACAGCAAACTTGGTGGACTGAGCAATCTCCCGTATCGTCACACTGGTGCTTCAGAGAAGTAGCACAATGATACTCTGTCGGCTGAGGGCAATTGTCTGGCAAAAGAAAAAAGAATTACAGTAAATGGTTTGAACTTGGGGGTAACATGTGATATTGTAGTCTGGTCGTCCTGGGAGGAACTGTTGTCGCCACTACCGACAACAGTGCTGCTCAGGACGACCAGACTACACTATCATTAAAATAATAATAATAATAATAATAATAATAATAATAATAATAATAATAAAAATAATAATAATAATAACAATAATAAAAATAACACAAAAAAGAGAGAAGAAGCGATTCGGGCAGGCCTCTGATGCTAGTGAGATCCTGGTGCAATTATCCTTACCTAGGGAATCCTTTTCCGGATCGTGTCAACGCGCGTGATAGATGGAGGCATGAGTGAAGGAGGGATTTCGGGTGGTCGTCAGTATTGAACAGTAAGAGACAAGTCATTATAGAGATCTAGCACCGCGTCTACGTGAAACGTGAGCGGCAAGAGTGACCACGTGACCTTGTTTTCCCCGTCATTTTTTCACTTTTGCCGATTGCGCTTTGCCGTTTCTACATGCCGGAAAAAGGGCACCAAAACTATTTCTTGTAAATCATACAAGGACGCCTCCACATCCACCATGACGTGAGCTCACGCGAGGCTAAAGCAGCAAGGTTCACGCTATTTTACGTGGAACGTGAAAGGGCAAGATGACGCTTGCCGTTTCACGTAAACGCGGTGCTAAATCTCATTATTAACTATGCCCGTGGGGGGAAGGGAGGAGGGAGGGTGCAGGAGTTTTGGGATCACATGGTTTTCAGGGGGGAAAGGGAGGGGGAGCAATCGTCACCAAGAGATTTTAAAGGGGGGGTCTGACTATTGAAAATTGACTGACAATCAACTGCCAGTGAGGCGTGATCATCAGAATATTACAGAGACCTGCGGAAGGGTCTCTGAGGCGTTACGGCTTTTACGGCTAACGGTTAAAATTTTGGCCAATTTACAGCTAACGGTTAGTTTACATTGTGGGCACCAGAAATATTTTTACGATTCACTTTTCTTTTCGTAACGGTTAAAATTTGTCAATTTTACTCCTAACGGCACGACATCTTTGCGCTGTTTATGGCTAACAGTTAATCCCATTATGTATTAGGACCCTCCTAAGGGGGGTGGTCAGCTAAAGCTAAAGTTGATCGTGACAGACAAACCCCACCCTTCCCCTCCCCCTTTGGTACGATAATTAATTTCTGGTTTGTAAGCCATGGGCAATCTAAAACCAGGTTTTCTTCTTTTTCTGCGCTAAAAGCGATGGGACGCGGGGGCGATAACTGCCACCATAGGGAATGATCATTACTTATAGTGGCACTGACCCTATCGAAAAGAGAAATCATAATGAGGTAAACCCACCTGTAGAAATAGCACCTAAGGCTTTTGGCGAGGGGGCCACACAAACTCTGTAGCATCCATTAGAGCAGCACTTCTTGTCTTTGACGCAGTCCTTGTCCATGAAACACTCGTCCGCATCTGACACACATGGAGGAGGAGGCGACTGGAGGACTGGGCACGTGCCTTTCTTATCTTTTTCAAAAGAAACGACATCACAGCATTTCAGATCACAAGGAGAAAAAAAGTAACTTTTTGCCTTTAAGAAGATAACAATGGCTAAATACGTAGCCATATTCTGGCTTTGATTGACATCCTAACTATGTATGGATGAAAAAAATACTGGGCACTTTTCCCTACGAATGCCTCAGAAAGAGTTCATCGATCCTAAAAAGAAAATCAGAAACATAAGGTATTAAGCTCACATGTCTAAAAGAGGAGCAAGCTGTCTTTGTCCACAAGGTTTTCCATTCTTCGATTTATTTTGCTTTCTAATAAAATATATTTGACTGATCTTACTGAGAGGACTGGAACTAGACTTCTAGAATATGGAGTAGCGTTGTACTGCATAGATCCTCAATTCTGCCCGAGGCAGACTTCAAAATTTTTAACTTGAAGGCTCGATCAAGGAAATTCTATCATAACAACTCCACACTCATCGTTGCATTCAGGGTTACAATCTATTTACTGCTAAATCAAAGAAAACCGGACGGTAAAATTAAAGCAAAAATAAATGACAAATACTCGAGACACACTCGCTTTTCCTCGTAGCGACCAAGCGCAAACAAATGAACCTTTTGACTTTTTGACGAAACTCCCAAAAGGAATCGGGTGTGACAAATTCTCCCACCAAGTGCCAACTAAAGGGAAAATTAACCCAGTTTCTCCCTGCCACTTCGGAACTCTTATTTCTTATTTACGACACATAATACAAACCAACCCTTACTCAGCGTTGACGAGGACCTAGTCGCTGGATCCCAACACTGCCTTCTACAGCCGGTGAAACAGCAGTAGGTGTCATTTGCACATTCATCATCATTATTGCACATGTTTTTCAGCCCCACGTGACACGTACTGGATTTTATAGCGTCAGGACACTTGTTGGCTGAACTAGTGTTGACTAAAAAAGGAGATAATACATGCTGACTTTTTAGATTTCGTGCATCATTCCTCTAACGACGGGTGCAGTTACTAAAAAAGCTGGGCAATGATCAAACCTGCATTTATTACGCGCTCCTTACCAAATATCCTGAGTAAAATTTCTTGTTAACTAAATGAGAGCGAAATAACTCTATCTCCGGATTTTTCGTTCTCCTGCTTAAACTTCTCGTCTAAGGGCATATTTATATAGCCTCGGGTACCCAAGACAACCTTCGCCTCTTGACAGCTTTACGGCGCGTTTATATGAACTTGCAAGTTGTAATAGCTGTCCAGTTACCAGTCTCTTCGCTGACCTAAGACACACGGGCTTCGGTAACAATTTGAACCGTCTCATGTCGGTGAGGCGAGCGACCCAAAACCTAAACTAAAAATCTGCAAACTACCGAGAACATGGGAACACACGAGTGACACATTTGCAATTGGTTTCAACTTTTGCAACTTTAGCGCCAGTTTTCTTGACAAATCGCGGAGCGATGATAAGAAAACAACACACTCAATGAAAGTTGCTGAAAATTCAAACGAGTTACACTATTCTATGGATACGTTGTCTTCCATCTGAATTCGAGCATGCGAGGGTTTCCCGAAATTCAAACATTATATGAAAGTGCTAAATGTTTACAAAACATGTTCATTCGGTAAGCTATCAAAGACCTACACGATAGATAACTTGCCAGGGTAGACTTGGAAGCATTTGAACTTACCAAAACCAACATCACCAAAAACTGGATTTACACATCTGTTGAAGCAGCCATTATTACAACACTTCTTAACAGGGAAGCAGTCTCCGTCGTTTTGACATTCGTCGAAGTGTGCGATGCAAAACTCAGGCTGGATGAGGTTGGGACAGTTACCAGGCCTTGGCTCTGAAACACGGAGGAGCCCCAGGGTCAGAGATCAGACAAGGAGAACTGACAGATAGGCCAACCTAAAGACATCCCACGGAGAGACACTGACCCGGCCAAATGAGCCCACAAACACAAAGATATAGGGGGTAGCGGTTGAACGAAACTGTGGTGATACGTCGGTGGGAGGGGGGAAGAATATAACAAGAAGGGCCATCATAAAGGGTTTCTAGAGCTGAAATTTCGAGCGTTAATTAGCCCTTCATTAGAGCGAACAGAGGAACTGTAGATAAATGGAGCCGTGTTATTGAGGAGAACATGGTAAAAAGTGAAAAACAAGAATAAACTAGTTGAATGAAAAGCGTTCGTTGATAGCATTGGGATTAAGAGTGCCGATTTGAGAGAGCAATTTTTGTTCTAAAACCATATAGATAGTCTAGTCAAACAGTTGGCCGTGATCAAGCACACACTGACTAACAAACAGTTATCCAGTTGCGAAGATTGAATAGACTTACAGACTGAAGTACAGGCCAACGATAAGACGCTCTGCATTTTGAAGGCAGTTTTGAACGACTCACAAAAAGAAAAAAAAACGACCTAAACAACAACAATAATAACAGCAACAAACAAAATAAAAACGACAACAAAACAAATAAACAAAAAAGAAACAACAAAAAATGAAACGTACAAAAACAACAAACAAACAAACAAAAACACTTAAAGCAAAGACGAATATCCTCGTGGCCGAGTGTTTTGTTGGTAAAACGGAGCGAAATAAAGGTACGGCGCGATATTAGTGGCTTAACCGCTACAATCGCGTCATTTACTATCACACTTAGTCTTACTGATTGCACGCCTGGAACAGGCTAAGCTCCTCGAAAATAAGACAGACTACTGGCTTCAATATCTCACTTTGTATCCGAGCCGGGAAGCCTTCAGCGGTGGCACATCTTGTGCGACACCCATCATAACAACAAAGTCCACCAGATAGGTAGCTGCAATCCGTATGATTCAAGCACTGATTCCGAAGAGTCATTGGACACGGTTTGGGCTTCTCTGGCGCTGGACAGTTGTCTTGCAGAAAAAGATTAAAAACACTTTTACCCTCAAGAACTCATATTGAATTATCCTTACTGTCCTAGGGACTGATTAATAATCTTTATCAGGGGGAGTCCGGATATGGCTGTGTCTCAATATTATATTGACCTGACCTCCCCTCCCTAAGGCTCTGTAGTTTTCAAATGATCCCCCTTATTGTCAGTCAGTTTTCTATAGTCCCCCTTTAGACTCTATTAGCGACAACTGATCTCCCCTCAGTTCCCTTGAAAACCATGTGATCCCTAAAATCCCCCCCCCTCCGAAACAAACAAGGACTGGTCCCCAGCTTGTTTGACCATTTTAACGAATTCAAGCGCAATTAAGCTTGTTTGTGCGTTTTGTCCAATTGAACCATTTCGCCTAGTTTAACAATTTTAACCACTTGAGCCAATTCAGCTAGTTTGCGCATTTTCTGCAGTTGAAGCATTTTTGCGAGTTTTTGAGAGCTGGATGTATATTTCTTCGTTCATATATGCTTTATTATCATCAAAAACGTGCGCTTCATGAACTAAAGTTTACTATCCCTTCATTTCTAAAAAGAATTACAACTTTCCTGTATCAATTTACATACTGTAAATCAAGAATTGCGAATCAAACTTTGTGTAGGCGTGAATTACCACGACCTCTTTTCGTTACAAACAAAGTTGGAATTGCCTCGCAGCCCAGGTTAGAAATCATCTTTTTCTGTGGAGATTCAGAATGCCCCTACCTTGTATTTGGGCCTTTTAATCGCAAGAGTCAAACCTTTAATTCTCATAACAGTTTCGATTAAGTGTCGGACAACACATTAATGAAAGTTTGGAAACATCTTGGAGATTTTAAGGACCAGGCAAGGAAGAAAAGCTGGGACAACAAATTTCAGATCTTTGAAGTTAGATGGTTTGAAAGGGTTATTGCTGTGCAGCCTTGAAAAAAACTAAAAGGAATTAGCGATGGCAAAATGTGGCTTTAAAACGAATACGCGCACATGGTAGAGAAATGTTTCGCATCGTGAATAAGACGTGAAAATGTGGCAAATAAATGTGAAATCTCTTTTCTCGCATCAAAAAGCTTGTACGTCGCCGGAATCTGTGCGCCCTCTTTTCGCGCCAAATCCACCTATTTTCCTGGCATTCTTAATCTAGAAGGTACACCTTACATACCTTGCAGCTGAACTGCTCCTACAGCGGGAGAAGCGCAAATTTTGTAGCAGCCATTTGAGCAGCATTTTTTGGATGGTTCGTCGCAATCCCAGTCATACTTGCATTCATCATAATCAGACGGGCAGAATTCAGATGGTGGAGTCAGTGAAGGACAAATGCCTGGCCTAGGTATGGCTGCAAGATATTTTAAAGACAACAAATCAAACGAAGGAGAAGAGAAAGGAGTAATTGATCTTCGTATACTGAGGAGGTTTTTGGTGTAGATATGTCAAAGGGAACCATGAAATTCCACTGGCTTCGGTGGAAAATATGGGTTAGTAACTCGCAGCAATAGAACAAACCCACTAGCTCGATGTTCGCCATGTCGTTAAAATTACGGCGTGTTTTCAACCCCTCCCCTCCTCTCCCCTAAAAGAAAAAAAGGAAAAAAAACCTACCCAGATGAAAAGTTCCTTAAACATTTGAAAAACTTGAGTTTTAGTACTTGGGGATTTACAAGAGCACAAAAAATTAAAGCGAGGAAAAATGCGCGACAAAAGACAGACACACAATAAACAAGCATGTACAAAAAAAAAAACAACAAAAAAAACAAAAAAGATCAAAACATCATGAAATATTTGAACAAACAAATTTCTTGCAACTTAAGGATGATCCATCCACCCACCCAACCACCCCCCCTTCTTGCTGGAGATTCACTCCTCACCCCTCCCGTGCTCTTAAGGAACTAAAGCTTTTTCTGGTACCTTTCGTCGAGGGCCGACTGGTGCTGGAGGGCAGGCTCCTACAGCGCCGTCTGCATCCATCATGACAACAAAGGGTTCCTTCTGGACACGACTCCTTATCCACGCAAGTGTTTCTTAGTCCAACTGGGCAAATCAGGTTTTTACCGGCCTTAGGACAAGTATCTGGAATGAGAACTCATAAGTTAAAAACATAGCTTCCGGAGTAAAGAAGGTTGTTTTCCGTCATTTCTCGAGCGGAGGAGCTTGTGGAGGTTTTTGAAACCACAAATATGTGTATAAAGCAGTACTTTTGCAATAGAAAAGTGTCGACCGGGCGAGAGTTGACAAGAATATTCATGGGGATCGGTGTTGAAATCATTTCATGCAATCTATTTTGTTTTCTTTTTTAATATTCGAATCAAGGTCCGAATACCGAGCTACGCGAATTCCTCCTTCAAAGCGGAAGTTAGCCCAAGTCCCATAGCTAGTCCTAGATCGACTAGTAAAGGACGCAATACTTGCACGCGGCGGACCCAAGTTGTAAATTGAATAGGGGGTAAGTTTCTAAAGAAACTGAGGTGCTGCGTCGTTGGGGGTAACAAAGTAATTCGGTTTTATCAACCAAGTTGAAATTGTAAACGGGTCACCGTACAGAGTTAAATAGCTGACGTTTCGAGCGTTAGCCCTTCGTCATCGCTAGAAACGTCAGCTATTTAAATCTGTACGGTGTACAATTTTAACTTGGTTGATAAAACCAAATTATCAAATTGTAAGTTGCTCTATTACATTTTAACAATTCATCCAATACCTGATGCGGGCTCAGTAGAGATGCACCTTCGTCTACAGCCATCAAAGCAACAATGTGTACCAGTGGCACACTGCTTGGAATCGTCACAAAGATGCTTCATTGATTGGGGACAGCGGTCATACGCCACAGGTTCTGGACATTTCACTGCAAAGGAAACTAATAAGGTAATACACTGTACGGAACTGGCAAAACACGCACAACACGGGGAATGTCCACTCAAAATGGCCACCTTGTTATTCGCCTGGGTACTCCGAAAGTAAAGTGTTTTGTCCAAGAACACAACTCCTTGGCCCTGCCAGGTCTTTAACCCAGGCCTCACGGCCCGGAGCCCAGTGCACTGACTGAAGTCCACCGTGTTTTTCAAAAGTGCCTTTACAATTCGCGTTTGGCTATTTCAGAACCCCATCTAATGGCTAGGTTGTTATAGTCGCTATCTGTCGTTTCTTTCCTTGCATTAGAAGACATTGACGTTACACTACCTGCTGGAGCCTCAAGTTTTCCTACCAATGGAGCAGGCGCCGTACAGACTTTATAGCATTTATTGGAACAGCACTTCAGGTCCCCGACACAGTCCCAGTCAATAAAACATTCGTCCACGTCGGACACGCACAGTTCCGGTCGCCGAAGAACAGGGCACAATCCAATTTTATCTTCACCTAAAATCATTGTAGAAAGCATCTAAGATACCGTCCTTAAGTTACATGAAAAACAGAGAAAACAGAACTTGACAAAGTCGCGATCGATTCTAGCTTTACAACAATGTAAAGAATTGCTTTTATTTGGATAAGATAATTTCGTTCTCCATTTTTGGTTTTTTCCGTCGTTTGACTCGCATCACGCCTCTTAGATTATATTTTCAAACAAAACCAGAAGCCCATTACCCGGAGCTTCCATCTCGGTTGTACCCTTGAGTCAACCCTGTCCCGTATCTTTTTATTTTTAGAACTGAGATATCTGCGGGGGTTCTTTAATCTTTCCGCGCTTTCCGCCATTATTGAAATAATTTCGTGCGGCCTGCAAGTTACACAAGAGAGACGTAACACAATAGAGACGACAGCTCTCTTATGATTGGCTATTATAAAAACACCCGCGAAAACCGCCATGGGAGGTGCTTCTAAAAATAGAAAGATACAGGACAGGGTTAGCTCAGAGGGTCAGTATGGAAGATGGAAGGTCCGGGTAATGGGCTCCTGACAAAACATATTGCGGTTAAAGCAATTTGTCAAAACGATTGTCCCTCGTCAGCTCAAATACACTTGCGTAGAGGTCTATACCTTGCGCTCCAGCCGAATTCCCATTAGGATCCAAACATTTCCTCCTGCAGCCATCAAAACAGCAATAGGTACCATTGGGGCATTCCACATCATTGTTACAAGTGTGCGCCAGTCCAATGTGGCACCTGGTCGAATTAGAGACGATGGGACACTTTCCCGCCGCCTCTCCTTGAATCACTGATAGTAAATATAAAGTAAATATTTAATAATACAGAAACCTTAGGAAACCCTCCATTCATGAAAACACTTTGAAACGCTATACACATATAGCAGTCTCCGGGCAGCTCGGAAAGCAGCAAAACTCTAGAATAAAAATTTGTCTTTCAAACCGGCACTCTTAAACCGCCACAGTATCAAATAACGTTTTTCACTGTTTCAACTTATTGATTCTGGTGTTTTTCACCGTACCATGTTCCCACCAATAGCGAAGCTGCATCTTTCCGTATATAGATCACAAAAAAACCGCAATTCCTCAATTCGCTTTTTTTCCCACTGACGTAGCACCATATTTAGGAACTTACCCTATCTACTTTTTATTAGTTGCCCGACCTAACTCAGTAAATAAATTTTCTATCATATGACCACCGACTATAATTTTTGAAAAATTCGAAAAGTTTGTTTCAACTTTAACAGGAGCCGATAGACTGGGCTACGCGGGAAAGCCACCAAAAAGGTTCCACAATAAAAACTTTCCTTTTTTTCTCTTTATTTCTCGAAAAAAAAAACAAAACAAAACAAATTCACAAGTTATCGAAAAAGGTGACTTATTTTCTTATTCTTGTTCGCGTTTTTTTCCTTGTAACAACAGCGAAAATTTTCGCTTTACAAGTGCACCAGAGGGCCGGACTGCTTTTTCCGGACCGGGTCACGTGTACCCGTCCGCCCTGCACACGTCAACTTACACTATAGTTTTCTATGGGATTGCGCGAGCTGGTCGGACGGGTCATATGATAATATGGTTTCTGATGTATACTCTATATTAACCAGGGAAAAATAGTGGCTGTTTTTTCAATTTCTCTGTAGTCCTCTATAAAACTTTCTTAAGGTTTCCCTGTGCGAGCCCGCACAGGTTTGAAAAAGGCTAGATCCTTTAATCGATGATCCAGGTCAGTTTGAACGTATAACACAGCACCAAGGCACCGTGCTCAGAACATGGAAGGAGCCTGGGAACAACGTAAGTGTAAACAAACCCTTAATATTCGACTTACCTTCACCAATATTAGGTCCCAAGCCAGATTGACTCGTGTTTGTTGCCAGTCCCACTGGATCCAAACATCGCGTGAAGCACGTGTTACCACAACATTTCTTTCCTGGATAACAATCAGCATCGAATTCACACTCATCTGAGTCTGAGATGCACATCGGTGGTGGTTTAGTGGATGGACACTGGCCGGGTCTGTCAGCTGAAAGGAAAGTCAAAGATTATCGCAAAGATAATTGTATTCGTCATTTTGTGAAATTTGGCTGACCTAGTGGCTCAAAGCAGGCAAAACAAAACAAGGCCCTCAAGCGCTGGGAATCACAGAATGCTCAATATTTGTGGGAAAATTCCGGTTGGTTTAACTGTGGCATAATGGTGAGGGATTTACGAATTCGATCGGCCAACCGAATGAGATTGCTTGTAATATTTCCAGATGACACAAACCGCGCGTAAATGTCCTGGAGACGTCTGATTCATTCAAATGGTAAGGGTTGTCCGCCGCTTCCTTCCGAATGAGAAAAGAGAAGTACAAGTATCTCGGTAGGCACTGCATTATTTCTCAAAGGAATTTTCGGAAAATTTCCTTACCACATGAATTCATGCCGAAATTTCAGGATTTTGTTTGACCTAATGGGTAAGCAACCACAGTTTTGAATCTGATTGATCGAGTAGATAGTGTGATTTTTTTTGACCAATCACAGAGCCATCTTCATCCACTCGTAAATTGTAGTGAAGCACTAATTAAAAATGTAAGCTTCAAATATACGTTTATGACGAACTGTGACAACACGACGGTCTTGCTTGAAACAAAAATCAAAGAAATGCAGACTTAAATGTTTAGAGCATGACGATATATCATGCGTTCGCGGTCAGGTAATCAGCTGTGAGCCGGACCATGCGCTTTGGCTCAACGCTGAGTAGGTTGAACAGATCGTGTGCAGAAGTTTTGTAATTGAATAAATAAGGTTTGAGTTGCGTTTAAAACGGAATACTCTCGTGATTTATACACAGGGGATGTAGTAACTTACTTTCTATCCTGCTAGGAAAGCCTTTGGGATCAGCGCATCTTCGGCGGCAGCCATCAAAACAGCAAAGTCCTCCTGGAAGGTAGCTACAATCTGAGTCCTTGGAACATTGGTTCTTGAGGTTTATGCGGCAGCTAATAGATTGCTTCTGTGGGGGACAACTGGCTGGGATAAAAAAAAAAAAACAGTAAGGGACAGTTTCAGATTCTGTTAAAATACTTTTGCGAAAGCGAATGGGTGGTTACTGACAACAGAGTTTAAATTCCTGTTACACAGTACCATTATTAGGGTTATCTCTCTCAAATATAACTGTAAGCTTGAAAAATCTCGCAGGCACTCTGCACTTGAACAAAAAGGCTAATTGAGTTGAGTTTATCCCGGTTTCCATAGCTGCCAGTGGTATTGCCACACCACCCTAGATGGGTTGTTAGTCAGACGCAGGTTACCGCCCAGAAAATCATCAACTATCAATACTCCTTGCCCAATAACACAGGTAACCGTTCGCTAGCTCGGATCCGATCTTTTTATCCAGAGTTCAACGCACCATCGGCTTCTAAGCCCAGTCTCCTACTATCGATGTGTAGCCTACTGCCTCACAGGGAGGTCACCTATGGCCTCGCAGGTCTCACAGGGAGGTCAGCTATGGCCACAAAGAGTGAGCTACTATTTTGTTCGTCCGGGCGTGCTTGTTACGCGTAAAATATTGCGCATAGAGCATGCGTATTGTAAACTATGAAATGACCTTATGGTGAGACATGCTTTATAATAACAACTCGTGGCTTGCGTAAAATGCGTCGGACGAGAGGGCATGCATGTTACAGGTACCTAAGATAGCAGACTGCTGGAGACAAAGAGCTCCTTTCAACCCCCACGTGGGTGGCATGCCTGTCTTAGTCACCCACATCCACTTGAAACGCAGGCAAAAACGAAACAAAGAAAGTTTCAAAATATTACTAAAATTTGAGTAGTACCTCGAAGAGCACCAATATTAGGCTCAACACATTCTTTGAAGCAATCGTTAAAGCAGCATTTTTTTGTGGATCCTGGACAGTCCCAGTCAAACATACACTCGTCCGAATCCGACACACAGGGGCCTGGAGGCGGGGACAGCTGTGATGGACAGGTTCCCAATCGAGGAGTACCTGTAGAAATTAAAAAAGGAACTCTTAATTTGCTTCCTAAAGAAGACATAAACTTATAAAAAATGTGCGTGGGTGCATTTTTGGTACCTTGGCTAGCACCCCTACTGTTATTGGACGGGTCTCTACAGCGTCTTCGACAGCCATCATTACAGCACAGTGTCCCTTTCCGGCACTTGATGCTGTCAGTGCACGTGTTCTTCAGTCCAATAAAACAAAGAAGGTTCTTAGGAGGCGCGGGGCAAGTGTCTGCGATGAAGAAGAGAAGAATCACGAGTCTTAGTGAAACTGCGGAACATTCGAGCTTGGAACACAGCACAACCCTGCTAAAATGACTAACCTGGGGCCTGGGCTACAGCAACATAAAGAAAAGCCAGCAGAACCAAAACTGTTTTCAGGATCATGGTCTGATTCAACTAGAGTAAAAACATCAATTAAATTAATAGTAATAGCCAAAAAAGTATTACAAATAACGTGAAAGGAAGTTGTTTAGCGGGTGTACAAATTTGCGTGGGAAGTTATTCAGTTCGGACGGACTGTTTTAAGCCGCCAGACTGGCTTTAGAAAATAAGAGGCCTTAGGGTGACATACATCCGTCACCCTGGTCCCCCTAATCCCCCCCCCCCAAAAAAGTCCACCCTTTCGCAACTTATCCTTGACTATGGGCGATATTTTATTTCAAACAAATTTCCTGCCCCGACTTTTTAACTTTATCCAACTATATTTATCGATCAGGACTATCTATATTTATTGATCAGGACTATTTATATTTTCACGGTGAAGGGCAGACCATAGATATATAGATATATTTATCTCCAGTTTAGCATAATTCTTTTATTGAGTGCCACTTCACACTGAGTGTCGGGTGGTACTCAAAAAAAAGAAAAGTTTACCGCAAGAAACAACTTTAAAATTATTTCTCTTTCTTCTTTCTTTTTGTCATAATGATAACCTTGCTCCTTACTGAAGAACACACTCGGTTGCTTTCAGTGAGTAAAAAAAAAAAAATGAGACAACGATTATTCGTTATTGAAATACTGCGAATCGCTTAGAAGCTTAACCTAAAGAGTCTTATCAGTCAAACTCGCACATCAAGGGGCGACTTTAATCTCCTTTGTATCCCACATTTCAGGGATGTCACGCAACGCGGAGTGCACCAGAGCACGCCAACAATCCTGTTATTTTCCGTCTCTCTCAGCCACACCCCTAAGAGAAACGTCTGCACCCAACTGAGACACATCACCAACCCTCTTGTGATCAAACTCTTTTAAACACACCCTCGCAGTTTGACGCGACCACAAAACCTCAACGGACGTACATGTTTTAATCTATTTTTCGGAAGAATCAGCTATGTTATGCAAAAAGAAATCGAATAACCACATACGTTCTCTGTTTACCGAAGCACAACTGTGTAAAAATGAGGCAATTTGAGTTCTAACTCATTTCGGGGGAAAGTATGAGATACATATGTTCATATGATCGGAAAGATAGCGCAGGGAGAGACTCGCGCACACTTTTCACGCAGCCTCGTTGCATGACATCCCCAAAACCGGAGGGAGCGGGAATTAGAGTACCCATGCCCTCCCCCCTCACCCTCGCCGAAGTTTCTCTAACGGAATAGACCCATATAAACTGCATAGAGCTGCCACCAAATATAACCACTAGAAAACTTACTCCCAACAGATAACAAGTTAATTGTCAAGGTGCTGTTGCCAATTACACGATCTTCGGTTATAACAATCTGATCTTTGTACCTTTGGACAGACACGCGAGCAGTTAAATTTTACAGCTGGATAAGCAATCAGTTAATAACCCTCGAGTTTTCCAGCTTCTCTCGTTATTAACAACTAAGCTATCCAGTTTTATTTGCGATCAAAGCATCAACGAGCCAGTAAGAGTAGAGCTCGAAGACGTTTAAAAAAAACGAACACGTCGATCGCTAATCGCAGATTAAGCCGTACGCTATTTGCTACTGTCCATGAGCCTGTGGAGATGACTCAATCAAAAAAGATGATGGATAGAGATAGCCAAAACAATCCTTCCTGCTGAGAAGTCAAGACAAGCTTATCTCCTCTTGACCAAAAAGTAAACTACGATACTGCAAGCATCGGTAGACGATGGAGTTACGCATGGGAGCTATTTGTAGCGTCTGTGACGTTCCCTTGAACTAGTGCTGATTGAAACCTTACCGTAATGATCTGTGTTGGAGATATGCGATGCCCAGAGGCTCGACGGAAGGAATCTTTTAAACAGTCTCAAACAGTTTGTGCTCTTATTCTCAAAAGAATCTTCCCTTTGCTTGAATAAAGAGCACAGTGACGTCTTTAGGATGGAGAAATTCCAGACGAAGGTTGTAACGCGATATTTACGTCTTACGAATTTATAGTGTTTTGGTCACGCAAGGCTGACGCAAAACATTTTAGAATGTGCCTGTCAAAACATATCTTTCTTTAACTTTCTTTTCACTGAGCCTAAGTAAACTGATTGAAATTACCTTTCAAGAAAACAGAAACAAAAATGAATACTTTTGCCGAAGGTTAAGTGAAAATATGCAATGGGAAATTCCAAAACGTTCGTTTCAGAGCAGAAGCCCGCGCACTTGGGACAGATTATAATATAACAAAGAAATCAAGGATACATAAGAACTCCTGTACCTCAAAGGTGGAAGCTGTCTTTTAACCCTTTCAACTCTATGAGTGACCAGCATTTAACTTCTCTTTACGATAATACTGCTGAATCATCCATTAGGTTAATGAGAAGAAAGGACTTGATCACCAAGCTAAGAAGCTTTGATTGTCAAATGAATTCTCCTTTCCAGTGCCGAAGGGAATGTGAAGAGAAGAGTTTGGAGAATATACATACCGATATTAGGTAGTAAAGGGTTAATTAAACACGGACGTGTCTTTAAAATGAGCTTTGTCGCCATTAGCTCACCCTCGTGCAGGATGTGCGTCATCGTCGAGCAGGATATGTCTCGTTTTCAGGATATGCAGTCATTTATTGAATCATAAACTAGTGTGCAACTCTGACGAGGTGAAATAACAAAATCTAGTTTTGATCTCCACCACGTTTCGTCTGACAACAGCAGAGTTTATTTCGGAGTTTTTACAAGTCAGGTAAATAAGCTTGCTTTTATAGACGTACATTTTCAACCTTAACGTAAAGTGTGAAGCGAGCAGAAAGTAAGTGCAAGGTGTAACGTGTTGTACATACGTGACGTAGTGACGTTTTTCGGACGGTACGTGATGTGGTTGTGGGGCACCGATTTAATGCTGAAAAAATATATAACAACCACAAGATGGTCTCGATATTTCGATATGGATGAAGATTGCTATTCAAAGACTGCCTGACGAGACGACCCGATTGACAGAAACGGGAAGATCACTAAATACAAAATGCAAACCTTGGATACCCAAATACTTTGCTTTCTCCCTATAATTCTTTTTCATTGTAGAACTAAATCTCTGTCGGTGGTTAGATAAATATTAGCCTCCATTTGGCACGAAAATATTCGCGGATCTTTGTCTTCAGACATTTGTTCCGAGATGTGAACAGTTTTCCGAGAAGCTCGAGGAAAACTGTTTGCTTTGAGGAACAAATAGTGTCCAAGGACAAATATACGAGCATATTATTTCCTTGTCAAATGGAGGCTTTTTTGTTTTTCATCATTCAAATGTTTCTGCAACGTGTAAAAAAAATGTTTACGAGCAGCGGCTTACAGTTTTCTTCGTAGGATTAACTTCGCAGCGTACCCTAATACGACGTTATAAAGAAACATACATGTCCCTTCAAATCCAATAGCGAAACATAAGAGATTATTTTATTTTTAGCGAAGCATTAGCTAAACGCTTTCCCCTCTTGAATTAAACTTTAAATGAGTGCTTTTATCGTTCTGGGCGTAGGGTTTGAAAATTGAGCAATGTCACTCGTGGTATATCCTCGGATATTCTACAGTTTTAGCTGGGGTATATTCGATCACGTGAGGCGTATAGACCAATCAGCTCTTCGCCAGCGATATAATTTGAGGCCTTGAGCAACGCGAGTAGGCGAAAGGGTCCGAAATGTCTGCAAGTGATCTGTCGCCGTTGCTGATCCCTTGTAGACCTGCATACAAGTCACGAGAATAAAGGAAATGATCATCAACTAAAAGGGCCCTTGATTGTTCGATGAATTCTCCTTGTCAGCGCCTTAGGAAATATATAAAGGACAGGAAGGAGAAGATGCATATTGATGTCAGGGCGCATAGGGCTACACGTACAATGTACAACATACAAAAGTAACATTTTTAAGTGAAAAACCTGCTGAAACGCTTTCTCGTTCTTCTACTTTATTATTCTCACTTTTCCAGGAAAGGGTCAGTTTACCCTGACGGATTTTCTCATTTAAGAATTCTCTGTCCCAGTTTGAATTTCCGCGTTTGATTAACGATCCCCTAAATGCACACACCGGAGAGTGTTTGAACGGAGTTTTCACTCTGAAAACGAAAAACAATTTCCGTCTACTCAGGAACAGAGATTATTTATATTCCTTCCCCACTAAAAAGGTCACCGGCGCCAGAAAAGATACGCATTATATGGTTCAAATATCATCCCGCTTAAAAAAAAAGGGAAAGAAAGAGTAGTGACGTAAACATCTTTGCAGGGATCCGTTTCTGATTGGACAGTTTATCCGGATAATTGAAGATAGTAAGACTGAGTCCTCCCCCCCCGGGAGACTTTACCTACCAGTTTAAGGCAAATAACGGAGTGTAACCCCCTCCCCCCACCCACGGGACCTTATCGTGGAAATAAGTTGCATTTTCATAGTTACCCGTCGTCTTATGGACGAAGCCTGAAGGTCTAGACCGTCATGATAATTTATACAAGTTTGTTATTAATTCTGCGATAGTTATGACTATCGTTAATTAATTCACATCACATTGTGCATTTTCCACATTAGCAAGGAGCTGACCCAGTCGACGCTCGTCGAACACTACACGTGACCTCTTTCGAGTTCAGTTGCAACCCATTCAAATTTCCGAGCTGGACCGTGATGGCCTGGACACTATCCGGAATTTTATTTACATTTCCAATGTTTATGGTTGAAGTAGTTTTAAGAGAAGGAGGAGGTGTTGAGGCTCGCCTCTCTCGGTCCTCCTTTTCGATATTGTTGTTTAAAGCCATTTTAATTGGGGGAGGACTCGAAAGGTAGAGTTCGTCGTTGACACAAATCGTCGGTAGTTCGTCAGCTTTAATCTCGGGCGGTTCAGTAAACCCTTCGGTAAGAATTGATTTATCCAATTGCAAAGTTAAAGTCTGTGGTTTTGGACTAATTTTGTCGAATTGACTTCCAGGCGTTGCTAAAACCGACACATCCATTGAATTCTCGGCTTCTACATCTCCATTAATCGTGGTTGAATCTTGCTGAAACGCCTGTAATTTCGGCCGCGCGTTTGAAATAGTAGCGGATTCTAAAATACGCCTTTCAATTCTTTTTATGTCCTCTGCATTAAAAGTAAAAGAAACCGGCTTGAAGTCATTTTGAGACGAATTCCCAACGTTAATCGATATTTGCGAGATTTTTCTCTCACGAGAAGTTGCTGCACGCGTCTCCTTAAAGGTGGATCCACAGAACGTGTTTGCTCTACGTCTTGGCGATGTATACCTCTCCTGGTCAACACCGTTGTCTCTTTCAACTGCGCTTCCTTCGCTCTCCTGTTCTTCATAACAAGTCGCACTCAGTTCTACGCTTTCGTTTAAATCGCTATCAGTTTCAACAGTTTCATTGTCATTGTCATTTTCTTTCTCGTCAGATTGCGTTCCCTTCTCAGTAGACTTATCAGCTTTTTCCTGCAAAGCTTTTATGGTGGCCATATCCAGACCAAAACAAGAGCTGCGTGTCTCCCCAACGCGACGGTTTGGGAGACTAAGTTCTGACGGATCAACTGGCGCGGAAACTTTTCTGTCCACATCATTATGCTGATCTTCCTCGCTCTCGGAAGCCGCAGCTAATATGCTGGGATCCATTGAGCGTCTTCTTTTGGAGCCGAACAAAGGAGATAGGGATATGCGACGAACAGCCAAAAGTGCATTGACGGATTTCTGAAAATAAAGATTATGAAATTTGTCACTAAAATATATCAATTTCGGCCTTAAGCCCCGGCTAAACATTTCCCTCTAACCGCATTTTGAATGAGAGTGTCTGGGCGTTGTGTCGACACTCTTCAAATTTAAAGGCATCTTTACTTAGCATTTCCTTCAGAGGCAAATATTTGATCCTTTAGCAACCCCACGTTTTGCGTGACGAAAATATCTGATCGTTAACTCTGGACTTTGAGCAAGCGCACAAAGAACTGCGGAGGTCCTACAAAGAGTGTTACAGTGGAATCTCGATTTAACAAAGTGCCAAGGGACTGGGGAAATTGGTTCGTTACTTCGAGGGTTCGTTATATCGAGGTTTTGTGGCATACATTTTACTGTAACTTTAGCAGGGCTGAAGTATCGTTCGTTATACGGAGGACTTCGTCATGTAATGGTTCATTAAAACGATGTTCCACTGTACTTACCAGACTGCTACCGACTTTCGCTGGCCATTATTTTTGATCTTCTTTATCAACCAAGAGCCTGGTACTGACAGGTTGTATGTCAAACTAGATTGTGATTTCTCGACAGCAACTTGTTTTCTTAACCTTGCTTGCTTAGTTTAGAAACATAACAATTTACCAACTACAACTTAACGAAAACTTTCGATCAAATCTTTCGTTGGGCGGTCAAACGTTATCACGCTAACAAGCAAGCAAGTGTTTGACATCAAAATACCTTAAGCTTCTACTTCTTGTGTGTGTATGTGTGTGTGAGTGTGTGTGTGTGTGTGTGTGTGTGTGTGTGTGTGTGTGTGTGTGTGTGTGTGTGTGTGTGTGTGTGCACAACTGCCGGCTTTTCTTCCTTCTGCGATTTTTTCCCCAAAATAGGGGAAGGCCCGGGCTCCCCGGACCCCTCCCCTAGATACGCCACTAGGCATGCTACTTACCTTCCATCTTCTTTGCGCCATAAACGCCTTGTGGTTTTGTGTGTTTATCTTTGTTCCTGTATCGTGGGTGTCCTTAAAAAGAAAGTAAAATTGTTATGGAGAGTGTGTTACGTAATTGCTAAAAATAGAACTGAATACGTTTTTAGAACGCTTAGTCATGCTGACTCTTTGAGAACTTTTAGTAGAACTTTCTTGAACCCTTAGTCGGCATATTTTGTTATGATGCGATAACGATGTAATGTTACTAAAAATAGTCGTATCACAGATCCCTAGAAAATTCTAGAACATTATGTAAAACATATCTAAGGAGTCGCGATCTGTTATAGTTAGGCCTTTTTTAGTGAGTTAGTGTTGTCGTGAAGAGCCCAGAGGAGCTAGTGTTATGAGAGCCGGACTACAGAGAGTTGTTGGAGTTATTTACTGTTATTGGAATCGTCAGCCGTGTGGAAGGCTACGTTAGAAAAAGTTTAGTGGATATCGTTACGTTACAAGGATCTCTGAAGAGAACTGTGAGTTTAGCAGTAGTGTACTGAGGTTAAAGTATTATAGAGGGCTCTAAGTTAAGAAGATAGTTATCGTATTGGTATTGGTTTCGCTCCGTAGTAAGATTATTACGTCAGTTAATAAAGTAGTTGAGTTAGTGCGAGTTGTATCTTTCTGTCGGTTGAGAAAAGGCTGTAACAAAATGAATGAATAAGAATCGGAAATTATTCCGAAGCTTAACATGGATAAAGTGATTTTCGATTGAGTAACCCAAAACCAAAAGAGCCAATCTGAACAAAGGTTACATCACAAGGAGCCAATCAGAGCTCGAGCTGCCTCAGACACGTTGATCAAGAAGATAACCAAGTCACAGTAGCCAATCAGAAAAAAGATCTTCATCACAAGGAGCCAATGAGGGCTCGAACTCCCTGAAACACAGGGAAGAAGAGAATAACCGAGCCGCGCTTAGGGCCAGTTTTGAATCTGATTGGTCGACGGGATCGCGATAGTTTTTTTCGCCAATCGCAGAACACAGTTAAGCAAAACTCATGCAATCCTAGATGACTCTGACACTCAATTCAAATTTCTCTGAACACCTGTGACATGCTATGGTGAGAACTTCTTGTCTCGCAAAGTGACCTAGCCAAGATCTCTCCCCAAAACGGTATCTCTTTTACCTTTTCACTCCCAAGATATGTTTACTGATTCTCCTTACTGCCTGCCATGCAATCCTTATTACGTAAGTTCAGAGAATTTGTCACTGGATCAACTAATGATCCCCTAATTGATATTTTTCTTTATTCTCGTACCTTGTCTGTTTAATACCGTATCGATATTGCGAGAGGAAATTCGACCTCAGTTACTCATACCTTTATCCACGAGTGCTGAAAACATTCCTCTATTGTTAACCTCTCACTGAAATTAATTTATAGATTTTTAATAGCGTGAAAAAAGAATGGAAGGTAGGGTTCCTGATGACTGTAAATAAACTATTACTTGAGTGAAAATTCGTTGGTTAGGTTTTCTTGCCCTACTACGTCAATTTTGTACCAGTTGTGCGCATGGTCTCAGAACTTTGCGTCATGATAAAAAAAATCGTAAATTTTCATATCACTTAGCGTGTTTGCTTGTATTAACCCGGCCGCAAACATTTTAACGATGAAATTGTTTCTCGCATTTGGAAGTCATCACCGGGAAAATAAAATGCGGCGCTAACATAAAGCGTGATCGAACTATGTACACTGTACAGAAATAGAGATGTAACAGTATTAAATTTTGGCTAACTGTATTAATGTATATTGGCCACGCTTTTTTTCATGTCCACAAAAAGCTTGGTGAAGCAAGGATCGCAAAAAGATTACATCAAAGAATTTCGCTTGCTTGAAAAGTAAATTGACGAAAGTCGGCTTTAGTTTTTATCTTTGGCGTAACTTCAAGACATGCAATTGCTATATTTGCCCCTTCAACGATTTTGCGGAATTATAGCGAGTACTCCTCAACACGTGTGCTGATAACAACAAAGCCTTCTCTTGACCTTACCCGCTCACGGAACCGGCTTAGTAAGTAATAAACAACTGAGGTTAGAGCGAATGATTACCTTGGTTCCTTAACAAGGAGACCCTCAATAAATTCCATTGCATCGTGGGACAAGTCATCGAAACATTCATCATCAAAATCCCAGTCAGCCTTTGCCACCTTTACCAGGGTCTGATGGTCGTCGTCTCCAGAAAATGGCATCAAGCCACTTAGTCTAAAAAAAGAGCCAAGGAATGACTGTTCAAAGGTATATATGTTGTCACTGGTCAGGTGACGACAATCTTTCATCATCAACATCTACACGGATGCAACGCGCAATCTTCCCTACGAACTGGTTTGCAATTGCTTGTAAATTATGTAAGAGAAACAAAAAGTAATCATGATGGCCAATCAGAGGAAAGGAAAAAAATCTCGAGGAGCCAATGAGAACTAAAAGTGAAAACAACCAAAATTCCTGCCGGGGATGCGGTATAACGAGAATGATCAAGTCGAGATTGGTTTTGGTTTTACATCTGTCTCCGGTTGTTCGAAGGATGGATAACGCTATTCGCTAGATCAATCTCTATTCGTTGGATAGCGCAGTACGTTTTAGCCATACTTATCCGCTGGATAGCGATTTATTCGTTGGATAGCTATAATGATATCCGCTCTTTGAACAACTGGGCCCAGATTTCTTTAGTGGGTGGGGCGATTTTTCTAGACCAATAAAAAATCGAAAGCAAAACGAATGCAATTCAGAATTTCTCTTGTCAGATTACAGCATTTATGATAGAATACGAGATATGACGTAATCCTCTTATCTTACAACCTCGTTCCCTGAGCGCTTTTCCCTTTCCCTAGGAACGAGGTTGCGTATCTCAAGAAACACCCAGACTGCCTTGCTGAATCAAGATGACACCCACCTGCTGTTAAGTTTCTCCATTCTCATCACCTGTTTGCTGGGTGATGTATTGATATTTTAGGGGGAATTTACATATTGAACACCTCTGGAAATTAGTTTAAAAGAACGAGGTTCTCGCCGATGTATACTTACAAGACATACGTCACAACACCCAGACTCCTAAGAAAACAATACAAATAATTAAATCTAAGTTTGAGGAAAGGGAAGCAAATAATTCACTTTAGAAACCAGACTATTTTTTTTAGGATTTAAGTGACAGAAAATCTTACCACAAATCACTAGCAGTCGACACTGGCTTCATCCGTATTACCTCTGGAGCTGGGAAGAAAGACAAAAAAAAAACATTTTAAAATTTTTGAGAGATCTCCTTTTAATCGCCAGTGGCATTCGCGGTCGTCTCCGTGGCGCAATCGGTTAGCGCGTTCGGCTGTTAACCGAAAGGTTGGTGGTTCAAGCCCACCCGGGGACGTATTTTACAATTTGCGTAAACCACGTTTCTTGTTCTTTTTAGCAAAATGATACGAGATGGATGCTTGCTGTTCAAGCAAAGGTCGTAGTTTTCGAAAAGCAATGGACCTCGATATCTCTTTATAGGTGAGTTTTTTAAAGTAAGTGATTGTTTTTTTTTTTTTCCAGCTACATCTATAGGCCCTCTTAGCTCTGCTCACAATAAAAAATATTTGCAGAAAAGGTTTTGCTCGACGGAGTATGTCTATGAGCTTTGGTTCCTAAGCCTTAACTCTCCTTTTGTTGCATTTTTCAAGACCACATTCCCATATTCTTCTTAATTTGTATCGCAATATTGGAAAAAATTATTTAGTTCTCGCCGGTAAAAGGCAAATGTATAGCTAGTATATATTTATTAACTGCTTATATTTCAGTTTTTTTCTGTACGGTTTGACAGAAATATCTTATGCAAGGATTTCATCAGCAGATGTTATAGACAGATATTTCAGAATGAATCTTACCTACAAAGTCCGGAGTACCAAACGAGGATTTAACTTCTTCTTCGGAATCCAGACTCCTGGCGAGTCCGAAGTCAACCAGCTTAATGTCATTTGAATTCATACTAATACACAGAATATTCTCTGGCTAATAAAAGAGAAGGAATGACATTAAACACTGTCAGAATAGCACATATTTTACTACTCTTTGAGTACGCAACGGTCTCGGTGACGCAATCGGTTAGCGCGTTCGGCTGTTAACCGGATAATTGGTGATTCAAGTCCATCCGGATACATATCTTTTTGTTTTCTTTGTAGAAAAATACCGGTAATATCAGATGCTTTTCAATAAATGAGGCCAGAAGTAAAGTACTTCACTTTGTATGAAAATAGAGAAACTTCTTATGAGTGTTTTTGATGGACACCCAACTCATCACCTTTAGATCCAGATGAACGACATGTCTTTCATGCATGAACTGTAGAGCTTCGAGGATTTGCTTGACGTAATCCACTGCATCATCCTCCATCAGATACTCCTCAGCAACGATTCGTTCAAACAATTCACCTCCCTCCACGCTACAACAAACCAACACAAACGATTAAAGGTTTCCGTACTGAAGGATACCGAAAAATAACCCGGCTAACTCTTCAGAGAAACCTGCAGAAATGCCTTGGGTAAATAAATTATAGCCTCAAGACTTCAGTCAGTGCAACGAAGAGAACTTTAGCCTGCAGTGCAAGTATCCTATTAGGGTGAGTTAACGTTAAAAACTGCGCCATCGTTTATTGAACCGGCCATGTTTAGTTAGAGTCGACAGTAGGGGAAGGGGGGGGGGGTAAGGGGGCTCGCCCCCCTAGGTACCAATTTCTTTCTCTCCCCAGCCTTCCGCTTCCATTAATCTTCCCACTCCAGGGGGCGGGAAGATGAGAGACACTGGGAACGAGGTTGAGGAATGACTTGAATTTGAACTTACAGCTCCAGCACCATCACGATTTCAAATGGAGTCTGGTAGGCATCTACAAGTTCAACAAGTTTGTTATGTGTTCCGAGGGCTCGCATGACTTCAATTTCTCGTAACACGGTCTTCCTGACGGTGTTATTCGCTGTCTTGATTATTTTAGCTGCATAGTTTTTTTTTTTGGTTTTGTGAGTACATCTCTTAACTGTTCCATAAGCGCCTCTAAAAAGGAAAAAAGAAAGACGTCTTAAATCGTGAGTGTGATATAGCCTACAAACAGTTCCTGCTTTTAGGCGAGGTCCGTGCTGCGAGTTAAAAAAAAAACAGTGAAAAAAAATTGATATTGGCACACCGCACGGAACCATATTTAAACTCAAGTGTTGAAAATTTATTGACAAATATATCTGTATACGGCCGAGAACCAATCGTGTTTGTGCGTTGAAAGTGCAACGCAAAAGGCAAACTCTCTGGTTTAGTCTTTTGTCCCTATTTTTCGTGCACCTCACTCCCACAGTTCCGTGTGAAGCACTAACATCAATTTCTTTTCACTAATATTTTTTGGACGCGTGCGACGGATGAGGTGTCGTTCGACTTCGCCGAAAAGGAAGGACTGCTAGAAGTCTAGTGGGAGTGGCTACGCGCAAGCTGTACTCGTATAAACCGACCTTAACAAAAGATAAGTTTTCGCGTTTAGGTCATTTAGTAACCACAGGAAAAAAAAAAAAAAAAAAAAAAAAAAAGAAGAAAAAAAATCTGAATTCTGTGCGTTCACTGATTGGCCGTTGCCTATAATCTATCTGAGAACAGACTAGTGACTGACGTCAAAGAAACATTGTTATCTCGGTGCTGTCCAACATATCGCAATCTTGAAAGGAGTTTCTGAGATAATCTCATTAAAGCCACAAAAATCTTGATAAAAAAGAAAACATTATACAGCAGGTCGTCACGAAAAGTGTATCGCGCAAATGGACATGCCAAGGACAAATGTTCGAAGAGTCGAGCTCATCTAACGAAAGTACGGGCCTTAAGCAAACCACGACGGCGACGGCAACGAGGAGGCGGCAAAACAAAAGATCTAATGGGTAGAACAGCTCAGTTTGAGCGTTGTAAAACGTTGTACATTTCTTTGAAAAACAAAAACATGAAATCACCAAAATTTGCGTCGTCTGCGAATGGAAAACGCGACAGCAAATGATTTTAATTTCCTTTTGGAACTCAACGCTACTTATATATACGTTATGCTGAAGTTGAGGTGTGGCGCTGTTAGAGACAGTAAACACATGCAGCCATTAACGAAATTCTAATCAAAACGAGAAATTCATCTTCCTCGGCGTTGCCGTCCTGATTGCTTAAGGTCCCTGGTGAGATCATCAGAGTCGCTTGCGGCTTCCATGTATATCTATTTTTTTTTCTTATCACATTTTGGCATCAGCTTAGATATACGATAAGGTAAATTATAACTACATGTTAATTGGTTCTTACTGATGATCTACTGGAGTACAGACGCAAAGATGACGTCACCATTAGTAACATTATTTTTTATCAATTAAAAAGAAGTGGATTCCATGTTACCGTGGATCTATACATTAATAGGTCACAGAAACCGTCAAAATGTTGCTAGAACATCGTGACGCACTCGGCTGCGCCTCGAGTGCCACCGCTTTTTTTTCACCACATTTTGACGTAATCTGTGATCTAGCGCAGAACAGACGGACCGCAACATAGAATCCTTTATTTTATTAAATCGTGACGGAGTAAACTAGGACCATTGCCAGACGCACAATTGGCAAACCCTCTTCTGAATTCAATGCAGAGGATACATATTTAGAATGCTTAGAAGTTAATAAACTTTACTAAACTTTAAGCCTTTTTTGTAAGCGTTCAATCAGCAAAACAATTTTCTTATCCCTAAGCGGGATATTCAAACAAAAGCAGATTAGAAATAGGTTACTATGGGTGACGTTTCCTTCTTTAACAATTTAAGTATGTCGGTATCTGGAAAGCTATTAGTAAACATCCAGAGTCGGTTATTTACCCTCACGGTTTAGGCTTCCTTCAAAGCAAAACCGTACCTTTCAGCCTTGGGTTTCATCCGATAACATTGTTCTTTTTATAAATAATGTCAAGCGGGACCATATAAGCCTGAAGAAAACTTTTTCTTATTTCCAACAGCCCATTTGGTAGGTCACATTAAAGCTCATCCCCTGGCGAGAAAAATCCCATCCAAACTGACTATTTTGAGGGTATTTATTCACTTCTCAACGACCGCTTAAAAAAAAACAAAAAAAAAAACAACAAGAAAACAAGAAAAAAAAAAACTGAAAACCCAGACCTTTTCAGGGGTTTTAAAAACTTCTCCCTCTCTGCATAATCCTTACATTACGCGAGCTCAGTAATAACGACGCCGCGTGAACTCTGGGAAGCGAGTTCTGTAGATGCAGCATCGGGATATCTTTCCACCGATCGCTCATGATTCGCACAACCGACTACATTAGGTAACACAAACTGCTCGTTGTAGTGACAAAGTTCGAGACAGATTTCTGATTTCTAAAAGAGTCTTGTGATTGATAGTGCTTTATATCCAACATGTTGGCTCATAAAGAATGTTTCTACTATTTGACATAAAGCCGCCACTATGAGAACCGGGAAGTCGTGGGTTAATGAGAACGATAAACTGACTTATCCATTGCCATGGCGCTATTAAATATCCTGCGCAAGAGCGATTTCTCCATGGCACGGCCAAACACAAATACCAATTTTGCCTCAGGAAACGTGAAACTCACGGTGGCCTAACATCTTCCTTATTCAATCAAGAATCATTATTTCAATATAAAGGCTCGCGAATAATCGCACTGTCATTGTTTAAATACCATCAAATTAAAGCAAGAAGCCATGTGAGAAGATTCATTGTTTCATTACGTTCTAATTAAAACCAAATGGCCTCCACTTACTTGCCGATTTCTTTCTCCAATTCATAAAACTCATCCACCGCCCCATACTTGACGAATTCTTCTTCCTCGTCCTCTTCGTCTTCTTCGTCTTCCTGTTTGGGTTCTTCTTCTGTTGTTGTGATGTTTAGGGCATTCATATCTGCAACTGTACATGAAATGCGATAACAGGGCCGAGAACCGCTTGAGCTTTCATAAGTAAAGATATACTCTTTACAATACGTATTACTATCAGAATCAAGGGTGGTCACTCTCGAAGATTTCAACGCATTATTTTCCGTCAGTGCCGTTCGTACAAGAACTGAAATATAAGTGTAATAACTTGTCCTTAAAACCATTTGCTTCTCCGGAAGCACTTCGTGTGCCAACCACGATTCGACCCTTGTCCCCCAGTCAGCGATTATCGTGAAGCATAAGACCTTATCGCGATAAGCATATTTTGCCTTAGTATAATTGTAAAGATGAGAAGTACACGTGCTTAATCGTCCGTTATACCTGTTCTGTTTTTTCGCTTCCTCTCCATCTTGTACACGCTATGTCACAAAGAAGAAATGAATTGCGAAAATTAGTCAAATCTTTCGGTAATTAGTCCACAATGGATTCCCACTGATTTCTTGATAAATTATGCGTCTATTTTCTCATTATTTGGGGCGTCTTTAATCCTTCAAATCGATCCCCGTTTTTCATCACTCGACACAAACAATATTGCAGCCAAAACCGTTTACACATTTGTTTACTCGCGTTCCACCTACTCAAAAACTAGAATTATCGATAAGTGACCTCTCCCCACGCAATTATTACATTACTCTGCAGACAGGTGTCGAGGTTCTTTAAAAAAAAATCAGATTGACTGTCTTTGTCGTGATGAACAGGGAAGTTTTGAAGCTGAGATGACAATCACATGATCATGGACGCCTATTTCAGCTCAAATAGAGGGAAATTGTAGACTAATAACAATCCTAGAAAAACATACCTTACACCGATAATAAGATTACAATACCTCCACTGTCTACTTGTCTGGCCCGCCTTCTTTACCGCTGCGGCTTAATTTTCATGAACTTCCTAAGAATATACAACTAATCGAAAATGCAGATCGCGTGCTGAGATGCGAGTGCCCTAACGCATATGGTCTGTATGAGTGGAATTTCAAGTGTTTTGCACCTATAAGCCACCAAAAATAGGGACTTACTCAATCACGACATCTCTTGTCGACAGGTCCAAAGTTCCGTTTCTAATTTCGTTTCTAAACTAGAAACGAAAACGTAGGTTCGTTTGGATGGCTTCGTTTCTAATTTTAATCAGTGAAATGCCATTCTTCAATGGAGCTGACAGAATCGATTAGGACTCTTGATGTTAAGAGCCTCCGTGATAGGCTTTTATAAAGCCATACAAGTCGTTAATAAAACAAAAAGACAAATACATTGCGTCAATATTAAGAACTGTAATCTCGAAAAATGCCAAATGTCCAGCCGCCAGAGCCTCTGAACAAAAACGTCGTGAGGCACTCGAACCGTGGAAAATGTTTAGAACTTCTAAACCTCAGGCACATGAACAAGAGCTGATGCATCTTGTTAGCCCGATAGATAACAAAATCTTAATTGCCTGGAATACTTTACTTATCTAAGTAGATATAGTAACATTCTGAATTCTTAAGAGCACAAATCTCACTTTCAAGATCTGTGATAGCGGCTGCAATCGGCCCAAACTGCGCACAGCTCAAGGTCTTGATGGTAATTTTGACTCAAAGGCGAACAGCGTCTTTACCTTTTCCCTCCTTACGACGATAAACCAGATCATGCAAGGTCGTCTTGTACAGTAAATTTTTGTAGATCTTTTAAAATTGCCAAAACTCAATTTCTTCGACAAAAACGTGGATCCTGTTATGGATTCCGTGACCATTTATGATCGCAGTTAATGGGGAGCAGGGATGTTGCAGTGATGAGAGCGTCAGCCTCTCGGTCATGTGACATGCGAAAGAGTTTTCATCATTGGTCCTCGTTCATGTTCTGAAGGCTTTAATCCTGCTTCTCCCTTTCCGAGGCTACGCAAACCGGCTCTCCAAATTTCAGACGGACTTGTCTGGAATCTTTTGACTAAGAAATACTCTGTCGATGTCCGGCGAATTCTACCAAATTATCACTTGCTTACAAAGAAATTTAGTCCCACGATGTATTAAATTGACCAAATAATTCCCTAGATCTTCTTTAAACGAACCTTTAAAATCTAGGAGAACTACAGAACATAACTAAGTTCCTACATTTCGCCGCAACTCTGATGAGCAGATCCGCGTTAGACTGGATGTCGCTGTATTTTGTAAGCAACAGCAAGGCCGACACTGCAGCAAAGAGCACTTTTAAAACTGTTTCGAAGAATCTGGCCGTTTCATATATAATTGTTTTATTAAAACAAACGCCCCCAAGGTATTACACAAATCTTCTCGACTTTATTTTGTAAGAAGAAACCGGATGTTACAATGTACAGATATTAGATTATGGTATATTGACTCATATACCATAATGGCTAAGCCAATAAAAAGTCTTGAATTGCATTATCCAATGATCCAGTTTTTAATAAGAGCATGTTTACCATAATAACAAAGTACTTTGACTCTTCCAGAAATTTCTGCCAAGGTGATCAACAAGCCAGTTTGAAATAACTGCTGATTTTCAACGATTTGCACAGATAAAATAGATTTATAAACAAGAAATCCTGTTATGAAAGATTCACTCCCTTAGATAAGGCTTTAAGTGATAAGCAATTAATCTGCCTTAAACCATCGAGGCTATAAGCGTGTTACGGACGAAAAAAGTGACTAGTGTAGATCTCAGAATAGACGAAATGGCGATGGTGTCCTAACTCCCCCTTAGGGTAAAGAAATTCAGAGATATTTCTTCAAGTTGCGCAGAGGCTACAAAGAATAGCTTCGGCCGTCAGTTTCAGCAGGACTTAGACAGGTCCCTTAACATTTTTTATTTTATTTTACACTTTCAGAATTTCTTGGATAATGGCTCGTTTGGGAAACGTTTTGATTAAGTCTTCACATCTGTTTCCTGGGTAATAAATAATCCATTTAATTTGGAATTTGATTTCTCCAAAAAGAAGAGAAGTTCGTGAATTGAAACAAAAGTTGAAAGGAGCATACATTTGAATTTTTATTCCGTCAAGCGAGCACGGCTGATGTTCCGCCGGGATTTTGCTTGTTTATTCCACAACGAAACAAAACAACAATCATCGAAATAATCCCTTTTAACTACTGATGAAAAAAGCAGGATGTTTTTACTAAAAACAGCGTTTTCTGAAACTCTCAGATTGAAACAGCAATACATTATCAAAAATATGTTTGAAATCATGTCTACCTATACTAGCGAATGAAGAAAAGACTTTAGGAGATGTTAGAGGCGAGCTATAGGGCCTTCTTTTTCCACCAGACCTGCCAATCGTGCTTTGTATGGGATAACTGCAAGGTGGGTGGCCTGAAGGTCACTGGAACTAGCTTGGGTCTCCTGGCATAAATTCGATGTTGTGCTTCTGTGCAGGACACATATATAGACACGTTGTGGTTACTATCGCTTTATTTGTCTTTCCATGAATTAATTGTGGTAAAAGGCATTTAGTTAACCATTACCTACAGCTTTTAAAGTTTTAATAAACATTTGCAGAATCGTAAATTATGTTGAAACGGTGTTAGTTTATGGTAACGTTGTTATGTGGGAGTTGCGGGTGCTTTCAGTGAGAAGCTCAAGCATGTATCTTGTAAGACGTGTTTTCTAGGTATTCCTCAGCACTGCGACTGATGGTCATATCATCTCGAAGTGAAACACAGACAAACAGGACAAGGAGATGAACAGATGTAACCACTTATCACATACGAGCAAAAAGGCTGGTGCAGTTTGCCAATTGTGGTCAGCACATAAATTTTATATTTATTGAAGTCTCCATCCCTGGAGCGTTATTATGTACTGCAGATGTACAAAGATAGCTTATCAGTGACGAGGAAAAGGGTAAGTTTTTCCTGTTTCATCGAAAGAAGCGCACGAACAATAATAGATTTCAAAAGGTATCCGTTCTATTCTTAAATTCTCCATACCTGTCACTGACTTATTCTGAACCAAAAATAGAAACGTTTAAAGAATTCTCTTATGATCCCATCAATGTTTATTATCATAAGATAAAATAACGAGAAGATTATTTACCAACCGCGAGGTCCGGATGGCATTATCCCGGCATGACATTACCCAAAACTTATTTTATAGGAGTTTTATGGTCCGAAACGAATCGTTAGTACATAAACAAAAGTAATTAGTTTGTAACGTTGCTCTATTCACTGCAAGAAGTTTTGAAAAAATTCGCGAAATTAAGTCAGTCTGCCTTTGAGGTTTTGGCACAATGAATTTCTTATCATTCAACGCAATGTCTCGCTTGGAAAAGTCATCTGAGAGCGCCAAATCTTGATCCATTATTTATCATATGCGATTTGTAAGAAATTGCGATAAACATCGGTGTCGACGAGCGAAGTACAGTTATGCAAAATAAGTCGGTTACAACAGCGCGATAAATGCTTATTGTGTGAATTCAACTGGCCTCTCACAAAACTTTAACAAATGTAATTATAAGCGCATTATGTAAAGTAATCGAGTTTCTGTTTTAGCTGACTGGAAAAGAGAATCCACGGAGCTAGAAATCCGATAAGAAGAATGTATATACATACAAAAGAAACTCTGGGTAGATTTGTATACATGATCACCACTGATCACAAGACTTCATTTTCTAACTTCATTTTCTAATTCTAAGTAGCCCCGTGGTAAATGTTTTTGAGGCAAATGGAATTGGCTTCTCTCGTGCAATTACGATTTTATCGTCAAGAAAGTCCGACGATTTTTTACTAAACAACGGAGTACCACGATATAAACACAGTTTACCCGAGCTGAAGTATGCAAATAAAAACAATCCCTTCCGAGAATACAGGGAAGAACACGCTTTAAAATAGTTGTCCAAGTGAGAGTTTCTGGAACGGCCTTGAACTGCACTTTTTTCCAGACAAGCGGCGTTTTTAATGACTTGTAATACATGACAGTTCTTCGGTCATAGCCTTAATGGAGTTTACCTAGAGCCTTTTGCCCTTATTTCTGTTTAGTTCCGAAGGAATGCAAAACGTATGTAAACACTGGCGAACATCTAAAAACCCCTCTGTTCAAGACACAGACCGCGCGTGAGTAACCTACCTTTTGCTGCTTACGCTTCCGTAACGAGATCTCTCTCCACAAATTTACTGGGGTAGAAGTCGGAGTTTATCTCCGGAGGTTCCTTCGACCGTGTACGCAGTTAATCAGCTCCGTCAATCTAACAAATGGATTTTCCTTCCTCAAAATTTGCGGCCTCCGCAATTAAGGCGCTTGTGCAGTGCGCATGGTTTTTTTTGAATAGTCATTACAGTTGACGTCATCTCAAGCGTGTAGATTTCTTTGCCATG